CCAGGGCCTTTTCTTTTTTTCTTTTTAGATTTTTTTTCTGAAGTTTATTTTTAAGGTTCTCGCTGGCGACCCCCGTTCACCAAAAAAAATTTTCGATTTTTGCTGGCGACCCCCCTTCGCTCGATATTTTTTTGTGAACGGGTGGGGGGTCGCCAGCAAAAAAAAAGATGTCAAAATTTATCCCAAAAATTTTAAAAAAATCGAAGAAAGTGCATCCCAGGGATTATAAAATTTAAGTTTTCACATCTCTAATGTTGTCTCATTTTTTCAGAGAAGTTAATTAACCTGGTAGCACATGGTAACATGGTAGCACCTTCAGTTCTTCAAAAATAATTCATAAATACCTTCCTCCTGTGTTGTTGTCAAAATGTCATGTTGTCTCATTTTTTCAGAGAAGTTAATTAACCTGGTAGCACATGGTAACATGGTAGCACCTTCAGTTCTTCAAAAATAATTCATAAATACCTTCCTCCTGTGTTGTTGTCAAAATGTCATGTTGTCACACTTTTTCAGAGAAGTTAATTAACCTGGTAGCACATGGTAACATGGTAGCACCTTCAGTTCTTCAAAAATAATTAATTATTGAATAACCTAAAAACATGAGACTTTGTCTCCGGACTCTTTGAGTCACTTAACGTAAACATGAGACTTTGTCACTACCGTTTGCGGCTTAACGTAAACATTATTTCTGCAGTTCATCCATTACTTCATTACCTAATTAATTACAGACATAAAATATATTTCATCACTTATATTCTAATTTTTATTTAATGATAAATGAAACCAATTTTAAAAATAAATGAAATAGAGGAGGAAGAAATAAATGAAAGTGAAAATGTTCAACAAAAAATAAACGTTGTTAAACCAATTACTGAAATAAAAATTTTTTCATCTGTTGAAGAATTTAATGACTATTATGCTAATAATAAAAAATTATTTGAAGAATTGACAACGTGTAAATTGAATAAAATGTTTAAAGTTGATGGATTCAAAATTTCAAAAATAAAAGGAGTGGTTAGTTTGAAATCTATTCCTCAATCAAGAATCACCTCATTAATGAAAATTGATGATTTAACAAAAAGAATAGAAGAGATTGAAGAAAGAATAAATCAGATAATTGATATCATAAATTCAAATAATCATTAGTTTCTTAAAGTTCAATGTTGAACTCATCAAATTCATCTTCATCATTACCATTACCATTACCTTTAGCGAGTTTATTTACTCTTTCAACTCTATCTTTTGATAGTCTTGCGTTTAATTTTTTCTGAAGTTTATTTTTTACTCGTTTATGAGGTCTTTAACCCATTCAGGATTTAAACAATGTTTAATTAATCGCGGAATATCTGACATCATCTATATATAGCTTCTTTTATGTAAGATAAAATAAATAAATTATTTTTAAAAATAATGTTAATTTTTTAATGTGTTTATTTTTTATTTCATTATGTATGGGCTGAGTGTAAATGTCTTACAATTTTGAAAATTTTTTAAATCTTGATTTATTCAAAAACGTAAGAATAAAAACCGTCAGAATCATACATTTTTTACTTCATATGTTAAAAAAAATGATACAAAATCGCTCGATATTGCATGAATTCTTACGTTTACAAAAAAGTCACACAACCCTTCCTATCCTACTACTTTTTTTCACAGATGATATTTAAATTCAAATTCATTCCAAATGTCTTCTGGCCAAATATAATTAAGTTTAGGTATGCATCTTGAAAAGGATGACGAATTTACAATTGAATAAATGGGTACTTCAAAGATTCAATTTTTAAAAACTTATTGAATCAAATTGTGATATTAATAAAATCATTAATATGATATTTTAAAATTACAACATATGAACTGAACTAAGCATATTCGACGATGACTCCCATCGTATTTTTTATCAATTTAAATTAAAACCAAAATAAGCTTTCAATTAAGATTTTCAGAAAAATATCATATCTTAATCATCCATATCCTAATTTATAATTAGTTGATTCATACCAACTAATCATAAGTACAACTAACGTTAATTGAAAATTGAATGGATATTTTATACAATCATAATTTTGCTTAAATATTGTTCGGTCTTTTTAATCTATTTCATATCCATTTTTCAAAATTTCTCAATTCGATTTATCACTCAATTTTTGAATTCATTATTATAAATGCTATTTTCTTTAACAATTTTAGCGTTTTCCAACAAATTCACATGGGATAAACCCCAGCGATGGATCATGCCTTTTTAATGCATATTATAATGGCGATAAAATCACAAATAACTTTGGCTTTAAAGCCAATTTTTATTATTCAAACAAAATAATTGGATATAACGGATCGAATAACGGAGATCTTACATATAATAGATTCGAATTTTCGACTGTTATCAATGCATCAGAAACATCTGATCAATTAGAAATTTTTATTACTATAGCAAATGTTTATCATTCAAGAAGGTCCTTTTCTTTCACATTATACGGATCTGGTCCTAGAAGTACAGACCAAAAAGTTTTCGGAAGTTATTCAGGATATTCAATAAATTATCCAAATTCTGATCATAAAATAGTAATAAACACTAATTCGTCTTCCAAACCTAATGTATATTACCATGATAACATTAATAATAAGGGAATTCTAAATAATGATCGTATTTTCATAAAATCTCCAAACTATGATAGTAATCCATTTAAATCAGACGATCATTTCTGGGTGTTGGGCTATAAATGGGTATATTTAGAACCGTATCAAAACATCATATTTAAGTTTATAATATCTGACGAAAGTTACATTGAACCAACTCCAGAAATATCAACAAATGAAATCATTTTCGTTAATACAACATTAGCGGAACTTGAACTAACACCGTACACACCAAATACAGATTATATATTTTACACATTTCAACCGGATTTTAAGAAGGTTGATACAATAAAAATTCAAGAAGCAGTTAAACAAAAAGTTTATGTTAGTTTAGATGCATTCAAGGATTATGATGTTTTCAATTTATTTGTTGCCACAGAAAAATCAGAATTTTCCAATCAAATACTGATATTTCAAACAACTAAAGAGCAAATAGGCGTAAGTGAATTTATTTTATCACAAATACCAGAAGTAGTTAGCAATTCCATTCAATTTAATGTGAAGAAAAAAACATTTCATCGGGACTTAGAAGTATGTGGTATTATAGATGCAAATATTTCATCAATTCGATGCAGATCACTTGGAAATTATTACAACTATCCACCACCATATGATACTTCTTTAGTTTTTCCTATGGATAATATAAAAAATGGACATCACACTTTTCATTTCTATGCCAAAAATGATACAAAGATGTTATACCCGATTAAATATGATTCCATTTATTTTAATCAAAATTCATTTCAGGTACAGTTTATGCATACAGAAACTCCGACAATTGTAACTGAGATATATACAATTCAATTTAAGATTACGTGTTACTTACCAGGAGAAACTCTTTCATTGTATAAGGATAATACAGATAGTGACCTCCTAAAATCAATTATAGTTCCATCAGAAAATCCACCTAATATAGGGTGTCCAAAGGTGCGTTTAGCACAGCGCTCTATATGAGACTATTAAAGGAGATATATGCTGATTATAAATATATAATAAAAAATATGAATATATGTATATGATGAGTATGTTGTATTTTGGCGCCATGCCGGGATATAAAATGAATTTTGAGACAAGAGGCGGTTTCGCGGGAAATTTTGGCGGGATTTTTTTCATTTTTTTAATGAATCATAAAGAAAACATCCTCGCTCTTGCAAAAAAATGCAAAGACTGTAAAAAAATCTACGAGACATTGGTAAAATGCTTCGGTATGGATGCTCCTAGCTATTCCACTGTAACGTATCATGTTAGGATGTATCACTTCATGAACAAAAAGGCGCCCATCATAAAAATTGACAAAAAATCGCCGGATCAAAGAAAAATCAAAGCAATTCTTCAAGCGCTAGATGAAGACCCAAGAGCATCACTCAGAAGGATAGAGGAGATGACAAAGATACCACGTACAACAGTCAGTTATTATCTGCACAATTATTTGAACTACAAACTAGCGTATACACGTTGGTTCCGCACAACCTTAATTCAGTTCAAAAAAAATCTAGAGTCCAATCTTCGAAAGAGCTCCTCTCTATATTGGGTGCGTATCAATCCAAGAAGTTTCGCTTTTTAGTAACAGGGGACGAGTCTTGGTTTCAATATGCAACAGAAGCCAAAATCATGTGGATCCCGAAGGATGAAAATCCGCAAAATTCCCGAAGAAAAAATTGACACACCAATGATGATGTTGTCCGGTTTTTTGGGGCGTGAATGGCATCATCGCAATTGATATTCTCAAAAACCTAATACGATGAATGCTCAGTATCTAATTGACAATGTTCTTACTCAAATTATCAATTCTGATGAGTTTGAGAAATCCAAACAACAAAAAACAAAAGTTTGCAATTCATTTTGATAATTCAAGAGTTCACAAAAGTCATAAGGTAATGAATTACTTGGTGGAAAACAATGTCAAAGTTGTTCCAAACCCAATTTATTCACCTGATATTGCACCCTCTGACTTTTATTTATTCGGCACGCTAAAAAAGAGAGCTGAAGGACGCGAATTCGCGAGTCCAGATGATCTTGAAAATTTTGTAAGAGAGCAATTTGAGCAATTTTCTCATGATGATTTAAAGCGTGTCTTTCAAGCCTGGATCGATCGCTGCGAACGCGTGATTGAATCCAATGGTGATTATATTTAAATAAACTTTATATATATGTAACTTGTTTATTTCTATTCGCAGTATTCAGGTTTGTGCTAAACACACCTTTGGACACCCTATAGTATCATAATGACATACAATTTGAATGTGAGTACGCTACCTCTCAGTGCTTTCAATCAAAGATCTTCACAGGTTTTGAATTATTTAATAAGAAGTAATTATTCACAGAAAATCATCGATTTTTATTTTATTATTCAAACCCCAGATTTGATGATTTCATCTAATGCAGCTCTTGCATTCGAAAGAGGAGAAAAAGTTTCTTTTGATATTATCCTTAAACAATTGAACTTAGGTTTCCAGTATAAATTATCAATTTATGCAAGTAACGGAGAATCAAGTCAAAGAAAGCTTCATGAAAATACTGTGAATTATCCAAGTTCAGAAGAACCACCATCCAATGAAGAACAATATGCTGAATTGATAACATTTATTGCAGATTCTCAAAATTATACATATTCCTACGAAAATTTGCCATCAAATAGTTGGGATAAAATTATTTATCATATTAAACTTACCACACCAAAATTTTCAAAATATTATTATGTTCCTGTCAAATATTTACCAAAGCCAGAGATTTATGCAATTGATATTACACCAAATCCGGTTACAATTACAGATTTCAATGTATATATCAATTGTTCTATTCATTCATCAGGCGCTAAGTTATACATCAAAGTAGGAAACTCTGATTTTGATATTTTAGGAAATATTGAAAGTGAAAATAATAGATTATATGATTTTAGTTTCCATTTGATGAATTTGTTATTAAGAACTGTTGGTGAAACTTCACATATTAATATGGAACAAACTTTAGAGAGATATAATGGACCCCTTACTTTAATATTTAAACTAAATGAAGAAGGACTTTATTCTAACGAAATTACAAAAGAAATCGTATTTTCAAATACTATTTATCCAAAAGTAGTGTTTGAATCATATTTTGATTATGACTGGTGGGAAACATTTGAATATATTAAAGTTTATTCAGTTGATAATTCTAATTTGACAATTTATTATTCGTGGGATAATGAAGATCGTAGATTTATGGGTAAATTTTATTATGAAAGTCAACCTGTATTACTAGGTCCAAAAAATGGAAATTTATACCCTCCCAATGTAAGATCAGAAACAAGTATTTTGAACATATGGGCTACAAATTCACAAGGACACGAATCTAAATATAATCACACTTTCGATACTACAAATATGGAAGATCCAGTCCCAACACCAGAACCTGAGCCCGAACCAACACCAGAACCTGAACCCGAACCAACACCAGAACCTGAATATAATTTAAGAATAAGTTGTGATGAATATGAATTAAGTTGTGGTTATAGTGATTTCAACCCCAATTACGAAGTCATATTTTATTATGTCTTCACAAATGATGAAATAAGAAAAGCTATTCCATTTCCTTCATCATCTTATGTCATTATATCGGATGACTATGGATTAGTACGTTTTACTACAGATTTAACTAATATGGTTCGATCAAACATTAAGTTCGAAGATCAAATTCAACTTGATGTATTCATTGAAGCTACCAATGGAAATGCAACAGCCAGCCAATTTATGTTTAATCGTGTTTACTTGGGAGTAAATAGAAATACAACTCTAGAAGTGCCTAAAACCAATATAAGTTTTGGCGAAGATTTATTATTTAATTTTACAATTAACATTCCAAAGGAGCAATTACCATATGGTTATTATCTTGGAGTTTCTATAGATTGGTATTCTATTAAACATTTGGAACCATATTATTCAATTGGCGAAGAAGATGAAGATGCATCATATTTAAGTTGGTCAGTTAATGAATTTATTAAATATAATGCATTTACAGATCTTGGAGAACACAATTTTGAAATATCAAGTGGTTATGATGATGGAGGATATTATGTATATTTCAATGTAACAATTTTTGTCAATAATAATATTGCTCCATTAATATCTATCACTGAATCAGCATCATCTTATGAATATAGAGATAAATTTATTGTTACACAAATTAATGCATTCGAATACAATTTAGATGATGAAATTAAAGTATATGCAATTGTTGATAACGGAGAGCCTTCACTAATTGAAACACTTACTCCAAATAGAGATTGGCAGAAATTTGAACATAGATTATCTTTTCCTCCAATAGATAAAACATATAATTTCGTGTTCTATGCCATAGATTCATTTGGTGCTAAATCACCAAATGTGTCAAAAGTAGTTTCAATTCAACAAAATCCTCAAATCAAAGTTTATGGTACATTATCGGAAAAATATTCCCCAGCTGATAATATTACACTGAAATTCAGGGTTTATAGTTATCCAACAGGAAGCAAGATTAGAATTGATTATCGATTTGGATTTTATGGACAATCATATAATATAATGAATGATTTAGAACAAAATGAAGATTATATGACAGATATAATTGAAACAAGTCTGGGATTATCTAATTTTGATGGAAAAAATAATTTAATACTTATTGCAACAGATGATTCTGGTAATGTCCAAACATATGCTGATCTCGGCCTCATTTTAGTTAATACACCACCTGTACTGGAAAATTTGACACTAAGTAATTATTTTGTCGCCAGAAACGAATATATTACAGTTACTCTTGGATATAATGATACTGATATTAAAAAGAAGAAATATTTCATTGATGGAATTGAAATCAATATACCATATAATAAATTCCTGGTGGAGGTCGGTGAGGGAAGGCATAGTTTTTCTGCATTGTTAATAGATAATTTTGACTATGAAAGTGAATTGAAGACTGTTGATTTTACAGTTTCTAGTGAATGCGCACCATTACTTAAGTCAGCATTTTGCGATTATTCCATGCAGCTTGATGGCGAAGGATTATGCCAATTTATTATTCAAGATTTGGATGTTGATGATGATATTAAGATTTATTTATATATTGATGATTATGTTAATCAATCACAACTTATTCATGAGTTTACTTCAAATGGTACAAATTATTCATTTGACTATTATTTTATTGCTCCAGGAATTCGTGGTTCTCATAAAGCAAACTTCATATTTGTAGATTCAACAGGATTATCTTCCACTTTCTATCAATATTATGAAAACTATAGAACTGAATATCTAGTACTTAACAGGAATTATCAAAGTTACTATTCACCATCACAAGAAATCGAAATTTCTGGCTCTATAAAAGGATACACTCCTAACAAAGTACTAAGAATTTTAACAAAATACGATGATGGACCGGTTGAAGAGCATCAAAGAGATATTCACACATATGATAATTATACAAGTGATTGGATTCATTTTACAATAAATGCACCAAGTGAGTTAGGTAAATACAATCTTAAAATATGGATGGCAAACTATGACAATGATAATATTATATCTAAAGAGACATTCTATATAAGTGTCAAAACACCACCAATTTTGACAGAATTTTTGCCATTTGAACCAGGAATTCGTTTCTATGGAGATGAGCTGAGAGTTAAGGTTAAAGTTACCGTATCAAAACCAATCCATGTATCATGCTATATTAAATTCAAGGGAGAAAACTATTTCAGAGATACTAATTTTTATTTTTATACAACAGAAAATCCTAGATATGAATCCGATACTTTTGTAATTCCAGAAGGATTAGAACAAGGCGAATGCTATTTAGAAATTAAGTTTAGAGATAATGAAGGATTAGAAACTGAGGTCAAAAGACAGAACTTTACTTTACAAGCATCTGCAATACCTAAACTACGGGTTAAAATGAATCCAGATCATGTATATCAATTTCTTCACATCCCAGTTAGATTTAACATTATATTAGAAGATTTAGTTGGTAGCATTAATACATCAGTTTATCATATAATTGATAATGGCCCAGAAAAACTTCTGAAGGTAATTAAAGGTCAAACATCATCCGAGTTTAGTTTTGATTTTTGGCCTCCTTTCGAGTATGGTTCAAAGATTTATCAATTTATGACTCATAAAATCTATGCAATTAATGAATATGGTGCAAAATCAGTTGTAGTCGAAAAAGCTTTTTATTATACTGATTCAAAATATCTTGAACTGGCAACAATGTCATCAAATATATTCTCACCCCGAAGCATCTACAAATTCATTGGTAAAATCTATGATTATGAGAAAGGACAATCTGTTGCAGTATATTATTATCCACCATACAATTCGCAATCATATATTGCAACAGATGCAATTATAGTACCGAATAACTGTATTGCAGATTTTGAATTCAATCTTACATTGCCATCAGTATCAGGTAAATACACATATTCACTTTATACATTGACGACTCAAGGAACCTTACGATCAGATTTACTCAAGAAGGTAATAATTGTTGATTCACCTCCTGTACTAAACGAATGGCTTGAATTCAGAGAACAGTATTATATAGACGAATATATTAATATTGTTCTAAATATTACTGATGATTCCAAATGTCAAGCTGTTTTTGTTTTTGACAAAGGAAGCAGTCAGGAATACAATTTTAACTCAGAATTTGTTGATGCTAACAAGACTGAATCTGATACTTATTATTTCCAGACACAGATTCCATCTGGATTTATATCAGGTCCTCATACATTAACAGTTTATCTTGTTGATGAATTCGGCCTGGAATCAAATCAAATCACAAAGAACTTCATTTATCTAAATTCAAGAGCTCCAGTTTTAACAATTAATAATTTGGCAAAGGATTTATATCACTTTTCAGAGCAAATTTTCATTAATGGAACAATCAAAGATCAAGATTCTGGAGATCAATTAACTGTTTTGTATAAATTTGATGATATAAAAAGTCCATGGAATACATTACAGCAATTAACATCAGATGGTACTGAACAAACAATAAATCAATTTATTGATGTCCCTAGACAAAATGGAGAAAGAACATTATATATCACAGCACGCGACCAAAATGGTGCATATGCAGCTCAATACAAGTTTACATTTAAAGTTCAAAGACAACCAGGTATTGATATTTTGACCACATTTAAAGATAGATTTGCACCAAACGAAACTGTTTCATTTGAAGCAAGAATCTTTGATCAAATTCCAGGAAATAATGTTAAAGTATATTATAATATTGATTCTAATACAAATGGACAGCTCATTACTGAAGTTCAAATCCAAAACACAATGAACTCATCCGATTTCCATGTTGAATTTTCCCTTCCAGATTCATATATTGATCACTATCTTTTTATTTGGGGTACAGATGCAGAAGGCAATATGTTAACAAATATGTTCAGTAAATCCATTGAAATAGATGTCATTCCGAAGATTCAATTAAATAAGCCAATCAATTCAATTTATTACAAACCAGCATATATTGATATTGCTGTTGGAGTACTTGATGATAAATCTGTCAATGTTTATTATCAGATTGATGATGAACCAATGATTTTATTCAGTAATGCATTGGGATCATATGGAAACATGAGAAATACTTCAACTCAATTTGTTTATAGAGGTGATAGTGATCGAACAATCAATCTCAAAATCTTTTGCATGGATAAGTATAAGCAAATGTCTAATGTCATTACAAATCAAATTGAATACAGTACATCTAAATCAACACCAGAACTAAATATTTATCGTGACCTGAACGGTGGAAGAAATCAATATGATTCATATAGATTCTGCGAAGATATTAAATTTGTGGCAAAACTACTTGATGTTAAGTTGAACAATCGTGTTTACTTAGATTACAGTATTGATAATGGTGAGTATATTCGCCAATGTTCGTATGTTTCATTAGCAAAGGAACATAATATTGAATTCGGTGTTAATGTATCAAAGAAGAATGGAGTACATACAATCGAATTCAAATGCATTAACCAAGATAACATCGAATCAGGAACAATTAAATTTGAATTTGCTGTGTTCCAATCACCAGTTCTTATTATTGATACAAAATCCATTAAGGATCATTATAAACTTAATGAAGAAGTTATTATCAAAGGTTATGCAGGAGACTATGAGGTCGGCAAAAACATTGATGTTTATTTCAAATTAAATGATCAAGAACCACAAAGTATTGGTACAATTACAAGTGGTGACAATTATATATCAAATAATTTCACTATTACACATCCAGGTTTCAGCACATCTGGTGATGTCATCTTTGAAATATATTTCATGGTTGATAATCAACAAACGAATAAAGTTCGTGGTAAATTCTATATCAACGATCCACCAAGAATCGAAGTTGTTGCAATCACAAGAACGAAATATTATCTTGGTGATACAGTAACTGTTGATTATAGTGCATGGGATGATACAGAAGCAGCTATTATTGCAAGATTTGATCAAAGCAATGAAATAGTACTAAATAGAGGTGCTTTCAATCAACATTTGATTCCATGCCATGATCAAATAAGCTTGCCAACTTCGTTAACACCAGGAACACATACATTTAATCTATATCTAAGAGATAGATATAATGAGGTTTCAAATATTTACACACATTCATTTGAGTTTACATCTGAATCTTATGCTCCGAAAGTTGAATATATTAATTTCAAGAAGTCTCAAATTTACAGATTTTATCAAAGCATCAAACTCACAGCAAGAGTAAGTATGCCTAGTGGAACCTCAAATGTTGACTTTTACATTAGATGGAATTATTCTGAACCATATGAATTTTATAAAACAATTGAATCAGTTTCAACTCAACCAATTGATATTCCATTAGAAATTAATTTCCTAAAGGTTGATGGAATTTATTACTTGTATTTAGAAGCAAGGACTCCTGAAGGTGCCTCTTCAAAGGAGTTTAATCATGTTTTCAGAGTTAGGAGAAATGAAGCAATTCTTATCTTAAATGATGATACCAATTTAAAGATCAAACCAGGAGACACAGTTACAATTAAAGGAATAGCTGTTGATTTTGAACCAAATACAGAATTAGAATTATCCTATTCATACCGTGCATATATGAGAGCAAGAGGATTATTAGAAGATACATCATTAGGAACATTCATTGTTGGACCAAATTATTCGACTCCAATGTTTATAATTCCTATTTTTGTACCAGGATCTGTTTCCAATCAAGATTTCAGTATCAAGGCGAAGAGTGGTCAAGAAACAGTTGCAACATATGATGATGGATGGGCAGTACTTAACTTACCACCAGTCTTGAGTGTCATGAAAGCAATCACTCAATTCTTCCTGCAAATGGATTCGTTGACCTTGATTTCAAATTAAATGATGAATCAAAGGCAAAAATTTATTACAAGATTGACTCAGGAACAGGCTATAATCTTACTGATTTCATTGTTTGTAACAACAGTGAACAGACTAATAATAACCTTCAAATCAATCTCTCCAAGCATTATATGCCACCAGGATCAACACATACTTTGTTTTTGTACGCAATTGATGAATTCAGGTCAGAATCAACTGTGATTCCTTACAAATTTGATATCGATGATGGTCATGCACCAATTATTGAGATCTATCAACAAACAAGAGATAATGAAACGTATACAGAGTATGATTTAATTCAATGTCATGGAAGAGTTATTGATGAAGATAAAGGTCAGAGGATTATTATCACAAGAAGATTAAACGGAAATGAAGTTGAAGTATTTAATAAGATTTCAACTGGTGACTGGATGGAATTTTCATATGAGTATAGAATTCCAAAATCAGATGGCGTTCTTATTAACGTTTTCCAGGCATATGATGAGAAAAAGCATTATTCAAACCTTTTCTTAAATAAAGTGTGGGCAACAAGTCATACCGTTACTCGACATAACCCACCAGCTCAACAACCAATGACTTATCCAATTATTGAGATAACTGGTAGTGGTTCTGGCGGTGGAGGAGGTACAGAAAGACTTGGTATAATTGTCCATAATATACCAACGACTAATGAGCCAGCCAACAAATATTTCTCTAAGATTTCTCCTCAAGGAATTTCAATGCCAAAGATAATTGAAGGCTATTGGGTAGAAAGAGCTGTTAAATTCATAATTGATATCAGAACTATTCCAAGTGATGTTCCATATGACAAATATATTGCTGATAAAATCAAAGAAGCTACAGGAGGAACACCATTTACTGGTGGAAATATAAAGTTTGATGTTAAGGATCCAGTTAATAATCAAACAGTTCATTCGGTTGTCCAGCCAATAATTCAGAACAAGCCTCCTAATATGACATTACTGGAATCATTGCCTAAAAATATTTATGGACACTCATTTATCAACATTGATGCAAATATCACAGATGATACAAAAGCAAAGATTGCATATCAGATTGATGATACCGGATTGAAGAATTTAACTAATTTCTATGTTCTAAATAATCAATGGCAGTCAATTCATCATCAGATCGAAATTCCTGCAGGATCATTATCAATGGGAAGACACACATTAGTTTTGATTGCAATTGATGAACAAAATCTGAACTCAGAGCCAATATTCACAGATTTCTATTTCTATAATCTCAATACTCCATATATCAAAGAAATCCATATTACATTTCCAACACCAGATGGACCAGGCACAAAATCTGATCGTCCAGGTAATTCAAGCACAAACCCAGGAACAGATACTGGATCTACAGGTGGCTCATCAGGTTCGGGTACAGGTACAGGAAGTGGATCAACAGGAGGTTCTTCTGGGTCTGGTTCTGGATCTGGAACAGGATCTACAGGTGGCTCATCAGGTTCGGGTACAGGTACAGGAAGTGGATCAACAGGAGGTTCTTCTGGGTCTGGTTCTGGATCTGGAACAGGATCAACAGGAGGTTCTTCTGGTTCTGGCTCTGGATCAGGAATGGGAACTGGTGGTACAACAGGAACAGGTGGATCTAACGGAGATGAAGGAACCTATTCGGGTGGAGATAAGCCAACAACTGGTATCGGAATCGGAAGTTCGTTCAGAGAAGATGGAGAAATTGATAGTCCATCCGATGATGGTAGCGGAACTGGAAGTGGAAGCGGAAGTGGTACTGGAAGTGGTACTGGAAGTGGTACTGGAAGTGGAAGCGGAAGTGGAAGTAGTAGTGGAAGTGGAAGTGAAAGCAGTAGTGGTAGTAACAACAACAATGATGACCCAAGAAAAGGAGTTGATCCAAGCATACCAACACTTCAGCCAAATGATACAATTACAATAAATGGCGTTTTCGATGACGAGGATGCAGAAGATAACACAACACTTGTCATTAAAGAGAATGATGGTTCTTATGATCCTATCCACGAAAGTCCTGCTTCACGACGACCAGATTGTCTTACATTTAGCAATACAACAACAATCACTAATTTCAAATGCGGAATCAACACAATTTTCATGCAAATCAGAGATGATCGCGGTGCAATTTCTAAAGATTATGAATTCATGTATTTCATCTATTGTCCTCCAGATAATTCCACAAATACAACAGAAACAAATCCAGGAGGTAACGATAATCCAGGAGGAAACGATAATCCAGGAGGAAATGAGAATCCAAGAGGAAACGATAATCCAGGAGGAAATGAGAATCCAGGAGGAAACGATAATCCAGGAGGAAATGAAAACCCAGGAGGAAACGAGAATCCAGGAGGAAACGATAATCCAGGAGGAAACGATAATCCAGGAGGAAATGAGAATCCAGGAGGAAATGAAAACCCAGGAGGAAACGAGAATCCAGGAGGAAACGAGAATCCAGGAGGAAACGAGAATCCAGGAGGAAATGAAAACCCAACACCACAAAGAACACCGCCACCTCCAAGATATCCAATGCCATCAAGATTACCATCTGATTACACAGGAAGAAGAACAATAACATTTTACTATACATACACATACACATTAACAGAGACATTTACAGAAAGTTACAGAATCTACTACACGTATAGTGAGACATTGATTGAATACGAAATTGCTATTGTTGATGAATCAGCAACCGAAAGTCAGCTTTCATTCATGCAGACTAAGTTTGGTAAGTACGCACTTTGGCCAATTGTTGTTTTGTCGTTTGTATTGATTGTTTGTTTCGTCATTTTCTTCATCTACTATGTTCGTAAGAGGAAACAAAAAGAATCTAAATCAGAAGAAGACAATATTGATTTTGCTGACAACGAAGAGACAGTTCAGACAATCAATGACACTACAACTGCTAATACAACATGTGACAATCCTCTCTTCACAGTTTCACAAGAACAAGATGATCCATTCCATGCTGACTTCCAAGAAGATGATCGCCTTTGCCAAAACGAAGAAGTTGAAGCATCGAGCGAAAGCATTGAAGATTTAAATGAAGGCCAGCTTTAAATTATTGCAGTGTTTATTTGAAAATTCTAAAAAATTGCATAATTCAATTTTAATACTTTATATTTTTTCGCCAAAACGCTTAAGCCAACTTTCCTGAGAGTTTGATATATTAATATGTTGTTGATGAAAAATATAAATATGAGAATTTTAATGACCAAAAGGCTGTGGAAAATTCCAATTAAATTATTAAAATCTAACATATAGTTTTTCGAATGCAGATCTTATTATTTATTAAAGAGAATATATTATCAACTATTCATTATGGAAAACTCCAAATTTTTTTTAATGCAAATTATGCCGACCTCAACTTCATCAGAAACACATAAAAATCTGCAAGCATATAGTTTTAAGAGTATATTATATTGCCTTGCTATTCATTTCCATTGATATTTACTATAGAAAGAATTTCTCTGTTATAAGTTTCTCAAGGAAAAAAATTCGCTCACAAAATAACGTACAAAGATCTGAAGTACCTTTTTCCCGACCAATCATCTTAATAAATAATTATTGTTTTATGTATAATTAATGGTTAGATTGTTTAAAGTTAATTACAAAAATAATTTATCACAGATATTGATAATATTGATTGTATTCAGGATAAATTCAGCTACTCTAGCCCTAAGAAATAATACTAATGTATATTCTTACCTACATTAAAATTTAATAATATTTTGCTGAATTATTAAAGTTATCGATCATATATGCACATAGAAATCAATGAAAATGCATTTAAAGAACAGACATCGCTTATAGAGCTAATTGGAGTGAACATTCATTGGATAAAAATAAATAATCAGCCAAATTTTCAGCAGTTATTCAAAAGACAATAACAGATCAATAAGCTGACAAATCTTGAACAACATGATATATTTTTTAGCGAAAAAAGTTATCGACCACATTAGAAAATATAGTAATACTCCGTTTTTTACAGCACTGATTCTATTACTTTCAACTTTTAGAGCTTTTCTAATATAATAAATACGTTTTGAACAACTTGCATTACATTTGCAATTATTCAGCTAGCTGCTGATAACAATTCAATAATTCTATACAATAAAATATACTATTGTACTTACACTCTTTATAATTTCAGCTAAATGCTTTATATCATTTTTAGATCTTGAAAATAAAAGCTTATTTATTATCCATGGAATTTTGTTCATTGCACTTTTATCGTCGTGTCCATAGTTTTGCCAAGTGATGTGTTTAGGAAATTTTGTGAAGTTTACAATTCTGCTGTCCGGCCACATATTGGTTTATTTTTTATAAAAATGTCCAGCGATCAAATGTTTCAGGAGGTAATGACATTCTGTCCAGGTTTTGATCAGGAGTTGGTCAAAGATCTCTGCACTGAGTGCAGAACTGTCGATCAAGTTATTCAATATTATCATGAACAATCAAAGCGATCAGCAGCAAAAACAACAAATACAAAGCCAGAACATAAGGGCAGAGGTCCTTGCCAAGATAGACCATGCGGACCAAAAGAGCCAAGAGAACAAAAAGAGGATAGAAAGCCAAAGGAGGCCGCTCCAGTTGAAAAGAAGAAGAAGCAGCCAGTCTTTGCTGCAGCTACAGGCGCTACATGGGGCAACCTTAACTTAGACGAGCAAAAGCCAGAAGAAAAGATCGCTCAGCCAGTCCAGCAGAAGGCTCCAGTAGAAGAAAAGAAGCCAGAACTAGCTCCACAGAGGAAGCAGGAGAAGCCAAAGGAGGAAAAGAAGCCAGAACCAGCTTCACAGAGGAAGCAGGAGAAGCCAGGGCCAGCTCCAGCTGAAAAACCAGCTGCTACAATGCTTTACGTCCCAGCCAAATTAGAAGGCAAGCACAGCATCATGTCCTTTGGCACATTCAATTCCAAATCCGATCAGGCCGTCTTTGCCCCAGAACCAGCCGCCCCAGAGCCAGCTAAACCAAGGCCAACACCAATCGAAGAACCAAAGATTGAACCAGTTGTCCAGAAGAAGCAGAAGGAAGAGCCAAAGGTTGAGGAACCAAAGCAAAAGCCAGTAGAAGAGGCCAAGCCAGCTCCAGTTGAACAAGTTCCACAATTAAACCCAGCTCAGATCCAGGCTCCACCACAGCCAGCTCCACAACAGGCTCAACCACAGCAACCACAGCCAAATCTTTACCAATTCGGCGATCAGATGCAGCAGCAACAACCACAGCAATACGATAGCAAATTATGGGAGGAGTTTCTCCTTTTCCAGCAATTCATGCGTTTCAGACAAATGAATCAGAACATGCCAATGAACCAAAACATGCAGATGAATCAGAATATGCAAATGAACCCAGGATTCAACCAAAATTCATTCCCAGGATTCAACCCGTTCCGGGGTCAGTACGGTAACGGTCCAAACGGTGGTTTTGGCCATTAAATAAATTGTGGGTATAGCAAAAAACAAAATTACACCCTTTTTTTAATTTTTTTTATAATTACAACAACATTTTTAAAGATTTCATTTTATATCATTCTTAGATTTTGCTTGAGATCCTTATGTTTATTATTTTGGGTCTGTTTATTGATGTAGGAGCTATTAAATGCTATCTAATAAAAAAATAATAAAATATAAGAAGATTAATAGATTTGAAACTTGATAAAGCATCGCTTTGTTAAGCACTTACTTTTAATTATGAATATTTAACATAGCTATAAAAATTTGTCTGCTTGGATTAGTCAATAGAAATCCTGGAAGTCATCTCCCAATGAATTAGCATGATAATATTCTTTGCAACTTGTTGTATCGCTTATTTGAACTGCTGAAGGATTTTGTAAGAGTGTCAACTAAAGGCAGATAGTAATAGGAGTATCACACAGCAAAAATGTTAGACAATAAGCACCTTGCAACATAATATAGACAAATGTATGATCTGCTTGCTCCAGGATTATAATTTTTAAATTTAAAATAATATAGAGAAAGTAACGTTAAGGAAGTAGAACCTATAAAGATATTCTGAACTAAAATGAATGACAATATTGAACTACATCTATTGGATAACACTTTTCTGTTCCATTAATTTGAATTTTAGAGATCATGAGGTTTCTTAAGAAAGAAAACTCTCATTATTATATTCTCTTTTATGGTGCCATTTATACTGGGGATTGAAGCTTCAATGCAAAGGATATTTCATTTTCATTGTGCTTCTGGATAACTAGTTCAACCGTAATTAGCTCACGTATGTTATTTCATGTGCCATACCTGAATGTGGTTGATAGAATAGCTTCCTTTCATAGTTATGATGACATATGAGTTTGTCACGAACACATTGTCATCATATACAACATAGGCAAAGTAAATGCCAATAAAAATTAGATGATTTTTCACGAAAAGATTATGCGGCCATTATTACTGAATCTTTGTAGCATTCGACATTGATAAAACCACATGTTTTGTGACAAAGAATATTTCCTGGTGTTGCCCGTGCTCCGATGGAAGGCCGAATATCGAAAGGTTATTTCAATTCTCAACGAGAAAGTTTGATACGGGGTATATCTCCTATGCAAAATAAATTTTATCAAATCAGCAGAAAATTGCTGCACTTAGCGAATTTGTTGAGTTAAAAAAAAATTCATAGAGATTTCATAGGCTTCTCGACGAAAACTTGGCATCTAATACGAGACTAGATGTCTAATATCTTTTAAAATCTAAATTTTTAAAGAAAATATATTTAATATATAAAACAAAGCATGCTAATATAATATAAACAAAACAGAAAGTGTATAAAAGATGTGTTGTAGATCGTCTTATTGTGTGCGACTGTGTCTTCGTAAGAAGCCGATAAATAATGTTCCAATTGCAACAGATCCGACAATGATAGATACATTGTTCATAGTATCTTTGAATTCTTCATCGGAAGGTCCAAGAAGTGAGAGGGCTGAAACTTTATTTTCCATTTTACTTACGTTCCAAGCGGCGAAGTCTGGGTTGAAGAAGTCTGTGAGATTTGAATGTGCGTCTAATGGTCTGAGATTTGGAGAATAGAACAAAAGTGCGCTGAGGAGAAATAGCATTTTTGGAAAATGTGATAATAATTTTTCAAATCAGATATAAAAAAGTGCCAAATTAATTTCGTAAATGATAATATCTAGATCTATATATTATGTTAAAATAAACGAAAAAATTAACCTCAGAAGTACTTTTGATAAAATTAAATGATCAGAAAAACCATACTGGCTGCAATTTCAATGAAAAACGTTATTATCCCTAAAACTTTTTGGATAATTTGAACAAAGGGCTTTGTTTACTATGAATCACTAATTATTTTTTACAAAGGTACATTCACTAGGCGATAACAGTAAAATGGGATGAAAATAGGATAAATAGCATCCCTATATAGTGCCAAACAATATTTATACGGGCCAAAAAAATTGGCTAGAGATTTGGCGAGTTATAAAACTTAGAAAATTGAGAGGGATTTTTATTTTTGAATTTTTTTTGGAAAGTTAAAATTGCGATTAAAAATCGATTTCCAGGAGAACTAAGCATCTCATCATATATTTAAATCGATAAAAATCTTAAATAATAGTTGAATAGTATAACAACGTGAAATTATGGCTGAATCTACAGAAAAAATGAACATATTTGACATTTTTGAAAATTCATACGTTAGATGGTGACAGACTCATAAACTATACTTTAGCTAAGATTGATATATGGTTTCAACAACACATGGTTAAAATCGTAAAAATATTTTAGATTTCAAAAAGAGATATATGGTAATATAATGGAACAAAGTCAACAAATAGCATGTTAAATATGTTATAATTAACTTTTTATTAGATCCAATAGTAGATATCGAATGGTTTCCAGCTTTATGGTTAAATATTTTCTTTTCGAGCTTCTCTTTAACTGTTGTATTAAGGTTGTAAATTTTTGATGCTAGAAACTATGGAATCTTCTTTGCTGCTGCATTTTTCTTGAGAGTTCTTGCAATTTCGAATAGATCTGCGCATTGTATGAAATTGAGGCTTTAAAATATCTTGAAAACAGAATAAGACTGCTTTTCCAAAGGAATGCTTACTTGTAAATCAGAGAGTTTCAAAATTGACAGCAAGATTATCATCATAACTTTCGATTTTGCTGCGAAAAAGGAAGACAAGTAATTAACAAATCATTTACTGTTGTTCATCAAAAGAAGAAAACTTTGATAACAACTAATGATGATAAAATCAAGCTATCTTTTAATATTTTAAATTGATAAGACATTCAAAATATTTGAATGGTTTAAAATATTTTCTTTTAATTTCTATAAGATATTATCATGATTATATAATAAAATTTAAATTTTTATTCAAAAAGGCAATATTTCAAACTTTTAATTTCAAAAATCTTAATTCTGCAATAAGTGTATTTAATTGTAGCAAATTTAATGATCCTTCGTCATGCTTAGCAATTTGGAACTCATAAATTAATGATTTCTTCAAGTAAAATTCTGCATTATTTCAAAAGTCAATAATTCTCTAGTAACTTTTCTTCAAACCCTAACCATTATATTATAGGTATAATGGAGAATAATTGCAAAGAAAGATAGCCGAATTTACTGGGTAGTTCTTGTGATGCGAAATAATTGCAAATTAACACCTAGTTTTAACAGCATCAATCTCTTTTTGCTCTCATTTAAATGCATTCGCACACTTTAATTTTGAAATATAAGAGTTTTGGAAATTATCAAATTTATCTGCTCAAATACTATAGATCTTCATAAGTGTTAATAGAATCATTAGCCTTACATATAGTGTTTAATAGAATGATGCACATTATACTGGGATTCATTCCTTATTCATCTAGTTATTATAAGATTTACAACCCCATGAAAATTTAAAATTTTGTCAAAAATAGTGAATGTACCTTTTTTTTATACTTACTTCGATATAAAATTAATTGAAAAGAGAAGCCTGACAATAGATGATGTCTCGTCTTATTTTATTTTTATTTTTAATCTTCAATTATCAATAATGCAAATGTTGTAAACAGAAATTCATCAAAAGTAACACCTCAGAAAAGCTAAAATATTGAATTTTTGGAACTTTTGATAGAGCACGTTTTTAAATATTAATTAAAGTAAATGTATATTTTGTAAAGATTCTTTTTAATAAAAAAATAAAATTTTGAAGAAGAACGCAAAATCTTCTGAAAAATAATATCACATAAACTCATATTATTTTCTAATATATAACTATTTTATATAAAAATCAAATTCAATGATCTTAAAAGCGAAGGATAAACCTCAAAATTTACGAATATAATGAATGGGAATATAATGCTTATCTATCATAAAACCATATGAAATATCAATTTTTGCTTTACGCCTAATTTTTGACGACAATTAGCAAAAAATGTTAAATGTTAACACTCAGTCCATTTGAATATGAAAAATAAAATTCACTTTGATTAAATGTTTTTATTTATTATGCAATTCTTCTTGCGACCAAAGATTTGAATAAAATTTCAAAAAATAAGATAGCTTAAAAAATAATATACGGTAGTGTTTACTAATAGATGAATAGTATATAAATTCTATTAAAATGGATTTGATCCAAAAAAATATATAAAATTTGATCATAAATAAAATCGTTTTAAATTACTTCTTCATTTAAATTATAACAATTATTTTTGGTTTTATATTTTTTTGGATCAAATCCATTTTAATAGAATTTATATACTATTCATCTATTAGTAAACACTACCGTATATTATTTTTTAAGCTATCTTATTTTTTGAAATTTTATTCAAATCTTTGGTCGCAAGAAGAATTGCATGATAAATAAAAACATTTAATCAAAGTGAATTTTATTTTTCATATTCAAATGGACTGAGTGTTAACATTTAACATTTTTTGCTAATTGTCGTCAAAATTAGGCGTAAAGCAAAAATTGATATTTCATATGGTTTTATGATAGATAAGCATTATATTCCCATTCATTATATTCGTAAATTTTGAGGTTTATCCTTCGCTTTTAAGATCATTGAATTTGATTTTTATATAAAATAGTTATATATTAGAAAATAATATGAGTTTATGTGATATTATTTTTCAGAAGATTTCATTCTATATGCCTATGAAAAGTACTCTCAAAACTAACTTTTTCCTAATTATAATTAAATCTAGAATATTGTATTATGCTTAGTATTATTTCATTTTTCTCATTCAATTTAGAATTTACAAATGTCAAAAAATTGAGAGCTGCCACTTTTGATGAATTTCTGTTTATTACACAAATATGATCTAAAACTTGTGACCAAAATCATATTGAAAAAGTTGGAGCAGATCATTCCAATAAGAATTATCTGCCTTTGAAATAGTTTATGAACCAAAATTCGATGAAATATATTAGAACTGAAAATAAGTTTTTCCTAATTTTTTATGAAAATTTTATAAATTTTCCGGTGAAACTTTGATAAATTCATATCTATCCAAAAAATAACTTATCTTAGGATGTTTACATGAATACTTTCATCGATAATTAGATGATGGTACATGCAAACTATGCTTAGACCATCTTTTCAACGATCTACGATAGTTATATACATCTAAAACAAAAACAAATTAAATTGAAATAAGAATTACGCTCTACACTGCTTATTATCCCTTTGAATTAAGGACCAAGATAATTTCAAATTCAAATTAAATATGACCTAAATTGATGAAATTAGTGATTTTATGTCAAAATATGTCTCTATAAGAAAGTTTTTTACACTCTCTGACTTTTTCTGGTTTCATGATTTTGTTTTTCGTCCTCCTTACAGATTTTCTTTTGATCGTCTGGGTCACTCTCATAGAAACCAGACGATAAAAAGAAAAAAGTTACAAATGTCTTTTTCACAAGGACTTAAGCTGAGTTTATGACTACAAAAGATTAAATTTATCCGATCGTATTATTTGAATTCACCAATGGGGTTCTTTCCTTGAGAATGATCTCTTTAATGAAGCAAGGATAATGGAATGAACCACATTATTCGACGTTGTCATTCATTCCAAATAAAAAATCATGAATTACATTTTCCCTTCATCTATATTTATATACTCAAAGAGGGTAACAACTTTCTAAATGCATGTGACTATGAAACATTGTCATAATCTAAAATATTATGAATATATTTAAAAACAATATGATTTATGTATTTCATTAATATGAGAAGTCCAATTATTTCCGATGTCAGTCATAATTCTCTTATGAAAACATAAATAATAAAAAGATTGATTCAAAATTAGTTCTTTTCTAAGTAAATCAAAAGAAAGTTATCGAACAAAATCAATTCTATAAAAAACATGAATAAATGATGAATAATTAATTTGGTTTTATTTATTTCTCAGATATGGTCAGATTTATTTTGTTTCAAAGAACTTCATCAAAAGCTGTACATTTTGAACATTAGTAGCTGAATTTTACTTTGCATCTCCTGCCTTCTTAGCTGCTGCTGCCTCTTGTTTTGCTCTCATTGCGGCTGCATCACGCTCTTTTCTTGCGGCAAGATCTCCTTGAGCTCCCTTCTTCTCATGTTTAGAATTCCTGGCTTCAGCACGAGCACGCTCACGTTCGCGTTGTGGACCACGGGTCATGTCAGAAAGTCGATTGAAAAGTAACGGTTTTTTTCCAAGAAATTGAAAAGGAAAATATTTTTAATCTTACAACATGTAGAATATATTAGAAATTAGTTGAATTTTGAAGGAACAGCAAAATTACTCCGGATTTATGCATAAATTTCAAAGTCCAATATTAGGCTACTGAAGAACTCTGCTAGATTCGATTAATTTCAGAATCCTAGACCTTTTTGGAACTAGGAAAGAGTAGTAAGAGTACTTGAAGGCAATATTCATTACGAAATCTCTCATCGAATGAGAGAATTCGTGATGAACATTGCCTAATTCGAGCAAATTTATTAATCAATTATTTAAAAGCCAAAGCAAAAGAAGTCGAAGAATATAAAGGAGTTGAACTTAACTATTTAATCTTCGTAATGCTCACAAGAGGAATTGAATTTAATGAAACAGATTTTGATCTAATTGCGCAAGGCGCAATTTATACAATCCTTACTTTTCCCATTCCTCACTCATTCGGTTATGATTATGAACATATTATTCAGCTCGGATTAATCATAGAGAAATTAATTTTGCCATATCTTATCAAGCAAAAAGCCCCACATAAAGTCATTATGTTTTTGAGTGGATTTTCAAAATATATTCAGTTCGAAGATGATTTTTGTATTGGTCTTTTCCCTGGACCTGACGGTTATAGAGTTATGACCCAATACTCAGATTTAGACAATTTCAATCCAGTGAAAGAGGAAATAAAACATAATGAAATATATTCAAAATATAATAGTCACTTTTTGAGAGCAGGGACGACGATTAAAAAGTGAATATATATATATTTTAACAGTTACTTGATACTTTTTCGGGATTATTTATAAGTCCGTAAAAAGTATCACAACTATTCCGATATAATATTCTAGTTAAAAATTACTATTCGTTTATGATGTCCAATGGTGATTTTTGCATGATCAGATATTTTTCGCTTTGAGAAGGACTTTGGAGTGAATGGTTTAGATATTCAAATAATGATGTCCTTCCATATGGAATTTTGGAACACTGGAAGCCATTCAATAGCATTTTGTTGCGTGTCACGTTCTAGGATGTCTTATTTTGTTGTTATATTTGTGATATTCATTCTGACCAAACTTAGCGATTAATAGAAGTATCATAATGACTTCACATTGCAGGATAAACAACTGTTGCAGCATGCTATCTCATCCATAACTATTTAGCAAGAACAAAAAGTTATAATTATTATAAAAAAGATATATTTTTATTCCAATGTTTGGTGTATATATAATGGATTAGTTACTTGTCACTGTTTGTTGTTAAAATATGGTGGGTGAGTTTTCTTTTTCTTGGTTTTTGTATTGATTTCTGCACCATGAGATCTTAGGAGATCGACTATTTCAGTGTTGCATTTTTCTGATGCATAATCTAATGCAGTTTTTCCTCTTTTAGTTTTAATATTGATTTGGGCACCATGTGAAATAAGAAGTTCAACTAGTTCTTTGTTATTATTTCTTGATGCATAATGAAGAGATGTTTTCCAATAATAATTTTTCGCATTTACGTCTGAACCGTGTGAAATAAGAAGTTCTGCAGTTTCATAGCTATTACAGCGTGACGCACAAAGGAGAAGCGTTGCTCCATTTCCGTATTTTTCAGTTATGTCGGCGCCATGTGAAATAAGTAGAGCAACTGTTTCTTTGCTGTTATTAATGATGGCATAATAAATAGGAGTTTTTCCATTTTTAGTTTTAGAATTAACATCTGCTCCATTCATAATAAGGAACTCTGCAGTTTCTTGGCTATTATTTATTGCTGCATAGTGAAGTACTGTTTTGTTTTTGTTATCTTTTGCATTAATATCAGCGCCTTTAGAAATAAGAAGCTGGACTAATTCTTTACAATCACTTTCTGCAGCATAATGAAGAGGTGTTTCCTTATCTTCATCTTTCGAATCGATTTTAGCTCCATTAGTAATAAGAAGTTCTGCTATTTCTAAGTTTTTATATTCAGCTGCATAATGAAGTGCACTTTTTCCAAAATCATCTTTATAATCAATTTTTGCACCATGTAAAAGTATAAAAACTGTAATTTCTTTCTTATTATTCATAGCGGCATAATGGAGAGCTGTTTTTCCATCTTGATCAATTGAGTTGACTTTAATTCCATTAAAAACAAGGAATTCAACAATTTCTTTAGTATTATTATCATCAGCGGCATGGTGTAAAGCAGTCATTCCTTGGTCATCCTTTGACTTAACATAAGCACCAATAGAAATTAATTGTTCGCAAAGAGAAACAGTATTAAAGATTGGTGAATAAACAAAACAATTGTTGACATCTTTTGTCATTTCTAAATAAAGCAAATAAGCTTCAACATTGTTAAAGCGATAACATTGTTGTAAATCAATGTTCATGTTATATTCATTCGTCAATAACTTAACGAGATCAATGTTATGAGAAATAATTGCAAATCTCATGCATTCTTCATCTGGTTTTTGTGTTTTCAAACATTCTTTAATTATCTCTAAATTTTCACCTAAAAATGAAAATTGAAGACATTGTAGAGTGATTTCTGAATTAAATTTATCTCTCAAAGACATAAAGCAGTTGATTGAACCATGGTAACAGCATAGTTCAAGTAATGAATATCCTTTTTCTGATTCAGGATATAATCCACTTTTCAGAATTTGATTTTTATCAAAATCTTCTTTTTCTGTAGATTTTATTAAGGAATCTTTATCATCATTCATAATTGCTCTGTAAATTGTGTTTTCTTCGTGGATTTCCAATGAAAGCTTTTGAGATTCATAATTTTTGATGTCATCTTTATCTTCTTTATCCAGAATAACAGAGTACTCTTTATAAACAAAGTAATCTAGTAGAGATGATATTGTTTTAACTTCTTTTGGATTGAATTCTTCGTAAAATTTCTTGAATAACGTAAAATATGGTTTGGTAAAGCGATTTCGATATTGAATTATGTAAGATAGTTCGCTGATTATCTGTTCTTGAGAATATTTTTTCTCTTCAATCAAATTTTCTTTGATTATTTCGTAAATTTTATTTATATCTTCTTGAGTATTGGCTTTCAGTTGATATAATGCATTAAATCCATCGCTGACGTTCTTTAATATACCCATAAATTTATTGAAATGGCCTTCTTGTGTTTCAATGCCGGCCATATTAAAAATAAATAATGATATTCTGAAGTTTACAATTTATATAAAATACAACAAAATAATATGCGATGAACTTTTTGAAAATATCATAACAAACCTGTGAGATTCCATTTTCACACACATATTTCTTTATATATTTGAAATTGGCTTAAATTCATTTTTCAAGTTTGCGAGTCAATGAAATTATGAAGGTTTTTATATAAGCACGCAATAGTTTTCGTATAAATTTAGTTAGTTGATGCTTTTTCAGGTTGATATCACCACATTCTTTCTTGCAATGAAAGATCATTATTAAAGAAATGAAATACTGAAATCAAATGAGTATAAATTTAATGGTTATATTGTTCTCATACTATTAGTGATGATCTTATTATATGCAAAAATATAAAAAATTTAAAAAATAAATAGGAATTTTAATAAAATTTCGGTTATTCTGGGAATAATTAATATCTTATTTGGAAAAATAAAATGATGTATACCTTTTGATTTTGTTATATTTTGTTTTTTTTTCAAAGAGAGGGTGATCTTTATTACCAAAAACAATGAAATATATTAAATAATTTCTTAATTATAATCTCAATATCAAAAAAATCTCAATTATATTGACTTTATTAAGTTATAGAATAGTAATACTATCATTAAAAATTAAGTTTGTAAATTAATATGCCCAATTTATATTCGTATCTCTATCTAAATGACATTTAATATAGGAGCTGCTCCATTAATGTACATAACAATCCATTTTAATATACATATACACAATGGTTTGTCAATACTATGATTAAAATTCATACGAAAAAGTTTTGTTTCATTTTTGAACAACCAAAATGCTGCGGTATAAAATCAAATAATTGAAGATATGTATGTATGATTCCCATTAACCTATATTACACATCTAATTGAACCATTTAATATTGTCAATTCCCCTATCATTTTTTTTCTTGACTAAACTTAGATTTTTTTTTGAAGTATCATAGCATGCCCGCATTTTACATCATAACTCATTTAAGGGTGCACTAACTACTTTCAGACATTCTCTCAATTTTGTTGACACCTATACTTTATCTCCTAATTTTCTATGATAAAAAATTATTCTAACTCACTACCTAGTACCTCATCTGGCTGTTATAAAGGTATGTTATGTTAAAATAAAAGAAAAATAATTAAATAAAAAATTATTTTTTAGTTAACTTTGAAATAAACAGGAGGATGATTGATTGAGTTGTTGTTTTCATCATTAATAAGTACTTTGGCCTTGATATATAGTGTTCCTGGTTTAAGAGGAATGTTTAATTCTTTCAAAACTTCAGAAACTTTCTTTCCAAGTTTCACTTCATCTCTTTCGTTGAAATCTGCGTAAACAATGATGTCACCAATTGTTAGCATTGAAATTGTTCCTTTTGTAGATGATTCAAGGGCCTTCATTATGTCTGAAACAGGTAAATCATCGAATGTCCACTTATCCCAGAAATTGAATTTTTCTCCTGTTGTTTGAACAATTTCTGTCGTAGCCAAACCAGGTTCAAACAAAGAAATGAAGTTGTTAGAGAGATTTACAGCTCCCCATCTGAACTCAGAGATATCCTTTGGAATATGTGAATGTAATTTATACATTTCCATGCAAACGAAACCGCAAACTAATGATGTTGTCGTAGCAAGTGCTGGAACAATGTTTCCTGCAATTCTCTTCACTTCCATTTTATTTTCTGTGATGATTCCATAACATTTAGCTCTCAAGTTTGCTGTGGCATAAATGAAATCAACGTGGCCATTCGATGGATCATCTTTTTCAAATGAAAATGATTTCAATGGTTTACATGTTTCTCTCAAATTTGAATGGATATCGTTATTAATTTCCTTATTTGCATCCGAATTTTCTTTTTGAGAAAATCTCTGGAAATCGTTATTTCTAAGTATTTCCATTGGATCTTCATCAGTTACTTTGATATCGTAAACTTCAGAAATTAATCTTGCTCCATATTTGATGAATTCTTTTGTTAACTCATCATTTTCATCAAAATCCAACGGATGAGGTAATCTTCTTCCTTCTGAGAGCCAGAACTTTCTTCCTTGGTCGTCAACGGAATCAACAGGATTCTTTTTAAGAACTTCATGGATTAAGTCAATAAAAGATTTCTGATATACATTTCTCATCAACAAAACACAGTCTTTGTAATCATTTGGTTTGTTATTGATCAACATCTTTTCAACAATTTCAATTGCTGTTTTAACGTGACCAATATCTTCTTCTTTCATGTGTTTCACGTAATCCTTGTCTTTGAGGAAACTGTTGACTGTTTCAGGATCACTTTCAAACATGTTTCCGAACAAATCTAAACTCCATGTGATCGTGTGACTGATGTTTGTCGGAAATTCATGGATTGTACACATAGGAACACCGCCACCTTCGTAGTTTCCTATGGATGAATATGACTGTGTCTTGTGAGGAATATATACTTCGAAGTTACATTTGGTTCCTTGTGTTCCTGACTCCAAAAGTGAAGTCAATCTTTGAACACATAATTGGTCGGAGAATTGACGTGTTGGAATGTTATCTAAAGCGTTGCAAACACCACTCAATGTCTTGTAGAACTCTTCGTTGTATACATCTGCTGCTGTTGTTTCATCCAATCTGTTGATATGATGTTCAATTTTTATCGATGGATTGAATTCTTTGGCACTTTTTGTGGCAATTTCTGACTTCATTTTTCCGACATCTTCTTCGTGGAATAAGAACTGTCTACTCAAATTAGAAACCGCTATTTGGTCCATATCGGTGACGGTTATCTTTCCTTTTTCGGATGTGGCGACACCCATCATTGCCCAGTTCTTTAGGAGTTCGCAACCAAGTGCTCCGGCACCAATCAAGAAATAGTTAAGGTCGGACATGATTTCTTGCTGTTTGTTGCCGAAAATGCGACGATAAGCATCATATCTGTCGTTCTTTGGTGCGAAATCGACATTGTTGATGTCGGGAATGGCATCTGTATATGATAAAGTGACGATCTGCTTGATAGGAGTAAATTGGCCGGTCAATGATTTCATAACTTCTTGGCCGGTAATTCCTCCAACGATGGAAGACATCGGGGAGATGATGGAAAGAGTAGTATTAGCGAAATTACGTAATAAAACTTCGTCAATTGAATCGACAAGTTTGGTATTTTCGTTTATTTGCTTCGCGCTTTCAAGTAATGCTGGGAAATCAACAGCAGGTGAATCTGTGATGATGTTGTAGTATGAAAGGAAGAATAAAAGGGTTTGAGCGTGTGATTCTAATTTTGAAAAATCAAATTCGTAGAATAAACCTTTCGGATTTTTCATAACTGCTGTCCAGTCTTTGTAGGATTCTTTCTTCGCAGCTTTGACTTCAATGGCAACGGCAGTGTTGTTATTATTCACGAATTTTCCGAATTTCGTGGTATCTCCAATGACAATTCGGTATTTATCGTTCTTAACTTTCTTGTATTTGAATGTCTGGTTGTTTACCTCTGTCATGCCTTCGACTCCGGCAAATTTGATATGTCCTGAAGTTTCAAGGCCATGACCATGTGGGTTTGAGGTTGTAACGATACCCTGCGGATCATTCGAGATATGTGCGACGTCGAACCTGATCGGTTCTGTATCATCTTGCTTGCGAATGAGGAAATCTTTTCCATTATCAGCAAAAATAAAGGAAAATAGGCCTCTGACATCAGCAAACAAGAATTTAATTCCATTTTTGTGGCAGAATGCTGAGTATTCGCTAATTTCTTTGCTTGAATGCCAATCTGTAAGAACAAAGCACTGATTCTGCAAGATTAACTCGTTGGTCAATGCATCTGTATTAACAGCGAGCGATACATATCTGTTTAGTTTCATTAAAAGCTTGGAACAAGCAATAGCTCTGTTTGTACCTATATTAGAATCATTTAGGTAAAAATTAGCTGCAAGATCATCAAGTGTAGTCAATCTTGTGTCGTGAATAGTGACATTTTTGACGCCGGCTAATATTACATTTTTGGCAATTTCAACACCGACGGCACCCATTCCTGAGATAAGAACAGATGATTTGGTAAGCTTCTCCATAGCTTTTGATCCAATTGCATAGATCTGACGGCTGTAAAGATCTTCTTCTTTGATTTCAGTCATTTTTTGATGAATTGACAATTTTTTTTTGATAAAAAAATATGACCATTTTACAACAATATTTTGACAAAATTGTTTCACAAATTCGTTAATTCTTTTTTGAATAACTAAGGATGTCGTTTTGGGGACAATTGGAGATCCGACCAAATAATTTTGGAAGGGCAAACCCAAATTTTAGCTAAAAGTGACAGGGGAAAAAAACGTTTAGTATTAAAAAAAAAGACCGATGAGAGCTTCGTTCGAAATATAGAGGGAACTGAGAATGCGCAACCATTCTCAGGGAATATTGGATGCTATTCCCGTTCCCTCTGTATGGAAAATTGAGGTTTTCAAAGGGAGTTAAAATAATATCAAATTTATACTAATTTACTTCAAAATACAAAAGTATTTGACAGCTAAAATTAGTTACTTTAGCAAGCCTATCAATACCCTTTTACGATTATTGCTACTTTTTCGAAATAAAAGTAAAAACAAATTTATACTAATTTACTTCAAAATACAAAAGTATTTGACAGCTAAAATTAGTTACTTTAGCAAGCCTATCAATACCCTTTTACGATTATTGCTACTTTTTCGAAATAAAATAAATTTATTATCAAAAACCTTTTTTTTCTTAGTAAAAATAAACGAAATTTTTTACCTTATGAACTTTTGATGGAAATATGCAAATTTAAAATAATAAAGAAAGCCGCGAGCGAAGCGATCGGCTTAGTTCGAAGATTTTGATTCAAATCTTTGCTGATCTGTAATTCGCGGAAGCCGCGAGCGAATCGAGCGGCTTAGGTCTAAGATTTTGATTCAAATCTTTGCTTATATTCCTTAAATTCTTTATGAAACTCGCAACAGTTCCATAAAAAATTTTAAATTCTAAACTGTCGAAATTACCGATCGGTAATCACACCCTTCATAGGTGTGTCACTTTTTACATGCGTGTCACTTTTAGCTAAAATTACCCCTACTCATTTTGGAAGTCTGGGGAACACGTAAAGTGTCAAAAATATTTGTAAAGTGTCAAATCAGTATCCTTGAAGATCCTCTCTTTAACATTGTGATTATGTAACATTGCTTTTTGATGCCTGTTTAGACATAATAATAAAACAAACAATTCAATAAAATGAACTCATAACGTGGGTGATTTTTCAACCAGCCATAAGAGGCTCAACATTTGAGAGTTTTACATGGCATTTACCGGCAAATGCCACGTAATTTATTCTCAATTATTTCCCAGGGGTTGCCGGTGTATTCACCCAAGTGTGCCTTCACCATTTCTAGCCTGAGAAAAGGACTCATATTTATGGTATAGATAGAATAGATCATAAGAAGCTTAACTTGAGACTTAGGAGAAAAATTGTGCAAATTTCAAAGATGAGAGAATCAATGAAAATTGAATACTTTTTCATTAAATTTTTTAATTCAAGAACGAAAATATTCAAAAATTTCAAAAAAATTATCTTTTACAGTCAAATAAGCCTTTTAATCCATTTTTAAATCAACCAAATCGATTTATTATTATTCTTTAAACTATATCTTTGACAAATATTCCTAACATTTATATTATATTATTCTCATTTTTATTATAATAAAAACCTGACTTTAACTTAAATAGTATAGCTTAAAAATGTATTGCAATCAAATCGCATATAATGTATTTATTAAATTTGGTTGATTTGGAATTTGATATTTCATTTTTTATAACTTTTATTGAAATAATACATGCAATAGTTTGCTCGAACAAAATAAAACTTATTACAATACGAATGTTCAAAACTTAAGCAAAGCATTTCTCAAATGGTAAAGAACAAAAACTTTATTGGGAATTACAGGCGTGCAGTGCTTTCTTGTTGTGCAGTAAAGTTGACCAAATTTGCACAACTTTTCCTGCAAATTTGCACAAATTAATAACATCATATACTCTAATAATATATGGAATCTTATGGAAATCACCAGGGCCAAAGTCGAGATATGAGATGATTGAAAATCAAAAACTGAAATCCATTCATATTTCTCTTGTAAAATCCATTTATATGAGGAACTTTGACTAAAAAACCAAAAATCTATAAACATGTTAGAAATCTCCAATATATCAAAAGTAGATGACAAAGTTTAACTAAATAATCTTAATAATTTTATACATCATGTCCTGTACAATACATCATCACTATCAACTATTCTCTAAATATCTTTGCGAGCTCAATAAATGTACCAAGGTATCACCGAGTTTTCAACGAAAGAAAATGCAGGGGGTAACACCTCGGAGTGAAGGCACACATTTCGAAATTGAGAAAAAGCCTTCAAATTTGAAATGTATTAGCAGTATCCATTGCTTGTTCAGCTAATTTGAGTTATCATGTTTGATAATACTCAGTTACGGAATCAATATTAGAAATGTAAACTATTCAAAAATGAGTCAAAGTGAACTGAGGTTTTGACTAAGATTGTTAATTATTTTTTATCAAATATGTCACAACAGCCCGATTTTATCCAACGTAAAATAGATGAAATTACTAAATTTACTGACTCAAGAATTCCTGTTTTACTTATTGGACCTACAGGGTGTGGTAAAACTGTTATATACGAAAACGATAAAAACAGTTTGACAGAAAAGTGACAACTTTACGTGTCAAAAATATAAAAAGTGATATTTTATTCATCATTATCTTCTTCATAATTTATTTCATATTCTTCGTCTTACCAACAAAAGATGGGAATGTGAACAATTGCGGGCAATTTTTAGCCATTTTGGCTTGGAACTAGAGCCTGCGAGGTACATGGATAGTATCAGTACCTCACAGGCTCTAGTTCTCTATATGGCGCCGAGAAATTTTGGTGAAATGTGGTCGCATTTCACCAAAATTTTTTCGGCGCCATAGGATGAATTGGAGGGTGAGAGATATTATTTCATACAATACTACTCTCACCCTCCAATTTCCAGCCAAAATGGCTAAAAATTGGCCGCAATGTGAACAATTGCGGGCAATTTTTAGCCATTTTGGCTTGGAACTAGAGCCTGCGAGGTACATGGATAGTATCAGTACCTCACAGGCTCTAGTTCTCTATATGGCGCCGAGAAATTTTGGTGAAATGTGGTCGCATTTCACCAAAATTTTTTCGGCGCCATAGGATGAATTGGAGGGTGAGAGATATTATTTCATACAATACTACTCTACCCTCCAATTCCCAGCCAAAATGGCTAAAAAATTGCCCGCAATGTGAACAATTGCGGGCAATTTTTAGCCATTTTGGCTTGGAACTAGAGCCTGCGAGGTACATGGATAGTATCAGTACCTCACAGGCTCTAGTTCTCTATATGGCGCCGAGAAATTTTGGTGAAATGTGGTCGCATTTCACCAAAATTTTTTCGGCGCCATAGGATGAATTGGAGGGTGAGAGATATTATTTCATACAATACTACTCTCACCCTCCAATTCCCAGCCAAAATGGCTAAAAATTGCCCGCAATGTGAACAATTGCGGGCAATTTTTAGCCATTTTGGCTTGGAACTAGAGCCTGCGAGGTACATGGATAGTATCAGTACCTCACAGGCTCTAGTTCTCTATATGGCGCCGAGAAATTTTGGTGAAATGTGGTCGCATTTCACCAAAATTTTTCGGCGCCATAGGATGAATTGGAGGGTGAGAGATATTATTTCATACAATACTACTCTCACCCTCCAATTCCCAGCCAAAATGGCTAAAAATTGCCCGCAATGTGAACAATTGCGGGCAATTTTTAGCCATTTTGGCTTGGAACTAGAGCCTGCGAGGTACATGGATAGTATCAGTACCTCACAGGCTCTAGTTCTCTATATGGCGCCGAGAAATTTTGGTGAAATGTGGTCGCATTTCACCAAAATTTTTTCGGCGCCATAGGATGAATTGGAGGGTGAGAGATATTATTTCATACAATACTACTCTCACCCTCAATTTTAATTACTTAAACTCATTCTATTTTTTTGACATGTAAATGTCACTTTTACTGAGATCTGACACAATGTCAGATCTCTTTTTTTCGTATATAAGAAAACAACAATTGCAGAGAAAATTTTTGAAAAAATTGGGACATATTACAAATTTAACTTCAGTTCAGAGACCACAATCGATCAGCTCATTGGAAATCTAACCCTTGACAAAGATTCCAATCCAATTTTTGATTATGGAATGTATTCTTTAGCTTTTAAGAAAGGATATCCTCTTATACTTGATGAGTTCAATCTCGCTCATGAAGATGTTCTGCAATGCATTGAGTCTTCATTAGATACTGAAGATTTATACGTAGATGATCCAGCTTTAAATGCTTCTCCCATAAAAATGCACGAAAACTTCAAGCTGATAGCTACCCAAAACGATTCTGATAGTGCATTTGCATCAATGCGTAATAAACTGACATCAAAACTCACATCTCACTTCCAAATTATTGAGTTTAATGATTTTGGTGATGACCAACTAACATCTCTATGTTCTAACTTCAATAAAAACATTTCAAAAGATCAAATAAAGCAAGTTATTGAATTTCATAAATCTTGTGCCTCAGAGAGCAACAGTGACTATAGTTTTACAATTAGAAACCTTAAGACTGCGCTTTTATCTACAGCCGATCCCAAAAATTTATATCGTTCTTTATTTTATTATTATCAATCGCTTCTTGGTCTTGATAAATCAAATCTTATTGCAGATAAACTTAAAGAATGCAAAATATATCCAAACCACGAAGAAGGGCTCGATGTTTACCAACTATTTAAGCAAAAACAAATCCAAACCACGAAGAAGGGCTCGATGTTTACCAACTATTTAAGCAAAAACAAATCCAAAATGTCTGGAAGAATGATGTTTTAACGAATATTCTTCGCAAAATACACTTCTTTATGGATAAAAATCAAAAAATTCTCATTGTTGGCCCGGACGGATCCGGAAAAACCCAAATTGCAAAATGGGCGACAAAATTATTTAAACATCGTGATGCTTACTTCATGATTTGCCATCAAGAGATGACAACATCAGATATTGTTGGCTGCTACACGACATCCAAAGAAAAAATCGTTGAATGGAAGGACGGACCTATCGTAAAAGCAGCAAAAGAAGGTCGTGCACTGATTATTGACCAACTAGAGAATGCTTCTCCACAAGTCATCGAACGAATCAATCCAATTCTCGATGCTTATTCAAATGTTTTATTAAATAAGAAGACTGGATCACATAATTCTACACGTTTCAGTGTAACAGAGTGTTTTGAAGGTCTTGAAGTCAGAATTACTGATCATTTCCAGATCATTGCCACTGTTACAAAGAATCAATTAAAGAATTTGTCTCCTGCATTGAAAAATCGATTCACAATTATAGAAATTGATTTCCAAATTGATCCTTCAAAGGCACAGGAACAAGTTAAAGAACTTATTAATGCATTATTGGAAACAAAAAAAGGAAATCAAATTTCTTTCTCAGAAAATCTCATTAACGAAATCATAAAAATAGATGGTATCTCTAATATATCAAAGATTGTTAATGGATTACGTATAATCTGTACAAAATATCCTAATTTCAACTCAGATTCCGCACAACGTGCAATTTTTAATGCTTTAAAGGAAATTTACATCGACCACAAGACACCAGAATTGCATGAATCAATCAGAGAAGTCATTATTAGAAAAATAACAGGACCAACAACAGGTTTTTATTTCAAAGATTCTCCTCCACTTGAAAACATTGTTTCATTGATTATTTTGATGCAAAACATTGGCCAACACATTGTTCTTCAGAGTGGAACAGGTTTCGAAAAGACCTCAGCAGCTGTTTCATTGGCAAAAGGATTGAATTTCAATGCCTATAAAGTGTCTTTCAACGCAGAAACAAAATTGTCCGATTTGATAGGAAACATCACAATTTCTCGTGGAAAAAGTGACAATTCAAAAGGACAATTACTAAAAGCAATCAAAGAAGGAGGTTTCTTCATAGCAGATGAAGCAAATCTCGCAGAAATCAATGTACTTCAATCCATCATCATAGCTCTAGAACAAAAACCAGGAGAATCAATAGAAATTCCATCAGTAGGAACAACAATAATCCATGAAAAATACTTTTTCATCGTTTGTCAGAACGATAACACGATGTTTGGTCGGAAGCCATTACCACAAGTACTTCTTAAACGTGTTGTTTGCTTTGATTATCCATTCCCTATCAACTCCATCAAAGAAGTAATCAAACTAATTACTTCTGAATACAATTTGCCATTATTAACAAATGCATTGACAGATTTTGTCATAAATATCAACAAAAAATTCCAAGAGGATGACAAAATCCGTCCATGGTCATTTAGAGAAGTCAGAAGGTTCTGCCGAAGAGTTAAAAATTCTGAGCCTATTGAGTTCCTCCAAAACAATGATGAATGGAATAAAATATCTTTTGCTCCATCCGCAATGATGCATGCATTATTTATGTCATGGATGATGTGTCCTGATCCAGAAAAATCAACTAAAACAATTTGTCAAGTTGTTGGAGAATCATTTGGATATCCAGACATCGATAAATTGGTCTCAATATTATCTACAGATGCAGTTCCTCAAGATAACTATGTAATCAAAGGTATTCTTAGAATTAAATCTGTTTTTAACATTGAGAATTCAAAGAGAGTTCCTGAATCAATTTCATCATTTTGGAATGCAGTTTTCTTGGCTTCTTTAGTTCCTCCAACTGATCCTTTATTAATTGTTGGAGAATCATCATTCAAGACATTTTTGGCAAATTCAATAACAGTTGATCCAAGCCAAGTAACATTAGGAAGTGAAACAACAACAGCTTCTTTAATTGGCCAAGTTTCTTATGTAAGACAACAGACATATGAAAGGATTTTGCTTGATTTACTTCATACAATTATGATTTCAAATGAAAAATTATATCCGAAATTCACAGATTTCAAAAAGAATTTTGTCAGAAACAAAGAAAATTTAGATAAATTAGTTGAATTCACAAAACAAATTGATGTTCCTTATCTCAAGAAATCTGTTGATTACATCACAAAACAATTAATTGCTGATATACCAAATACAGCGATAGGTGATTACACAACTGTTTTCAAACCTGGATTAATTACTCACTATCTTTTCAGACAATCTCCTATAATCATCAAGAATTTTTCAAAACCTCCAACATCTGTTATTGAAAGATTCAATGAATTGTTATCAATAGAACCAGAATTAACATTAACTGAAGATTACACGAACACAATCACTCCAGAAAAAGATAAAACTATCAAAATAAGTCTCGATCAAAATTCAAAATATAGATTTAGAATCATTGCTTTGAGTTCTTTGAATGATTTTAATAGGATTTCTGAAGCCATGAAATCAAGATTTAACATCATTTCTATCAAACCATATACTGTTGCAGAGAAAAAGACAATCACAGGATTATCTGATAAATATGTTAATGATCCGAAATTCCATATCCATAAATTGATTTTGATGAAATCAATCATTGATCAAATCCAAACAATTCAAACCAACATTTTGAATTCTTCTGAAGAAATTCCTAAAGAAAAATTAGAAGTACAAGCTGCGAAAATCTTAGGAACAGAAAATAATCAATGCGAAGAATTCAAAACACCTTTGAAAATAGATGATGGATACTTGAAATCAGATAATCCTTATATCCTTTCTTATTCAGCTCCTTCTGTTGATCCAACAAATTCAAATATTGTTTTCACAAAAACAACACAAACAATGTGTGTAAAGATCTTCACAGCATTGTCATTAGATATTCCAATCATTATTCAAGGACCAACAGGTACTTGCAAGTCAATGCTTGCTGACTATGTTGCGAGTTTGATGAAAGATTTCGCAAACAATATTCACGTGATCAAAATCCAGTTGTCGAGATCAACAACTGTTGAAGATTTGTTTGGAAGAAATTCAATCAAAGTTGATATAAACGGAAACAAAATTTTCGATTATATTCCAACAGAACTCTTCAAAGCAGCAAGTTAATCAAATCACAGATCATTAATCATCATTGAAGAGTTGAATCTAGCATCACCAAGTTTAATTGATGCTTTAACAAGTTTGTTCGATAACAACCCTGAATCCAAAATAATGAGGACAAATGGAGAATCAGAGAAGAAAGGAAGATTTTCTATTATTGGTATTGCTTCAGGAAATGTTTCTCCTGATCTTAAGAAATCAGCAATTATCTTCAGAAGAGATGAATACGATTCAAATGAAATGAGAGCTGTTTGTGAATCTATTTTGAAGAATACTTCCGAGATACCTGTTAATTACTTTGAAATGAATATTGCACGAAACTGCCAAATGTATTCTCAATTGGAATATCATTTCAAAAATCTAAAGAATTTGCTTCAAGAAATCACATTCAAAGATCGAAAGAACCAACAAAATCAGGAATGGAGCAAAATAGATATTTCATATGAACCAGGCGGATCCACATTAAAGGTTGGTGATCTAATAGTTCAAGTACCCGTCAAAAATGCCAATCTTGCTCGAAATCTCCAAGAAAAACTTGTGACACTGACTCCAAGCGAACAAAAATTGTTTTATTGTTTGGCAGCGAATAAACTCAAGAGATATCCATTGATTGTTAGGAGGAACAGCATCAGGAAAGACATATACAGTCAAATTGTTTGCGCAAGCAATCAACAAGAAATTAGTTGTTATTCCTGTCAACGCTGATACATCAATCTCAGCAATCACTGGATCATATAAACCATCGAAATATATCAGTGAACAAAACATTAAAAAGATTTTAACCAAGCTTTCCGAAGATCCTTCTTTTAATGAACTCTCTATGATGATTTCTGGAAACAATAGTAAAAATGTTGAAGTCAAGAAACACAAAGTTTTGGCAAATGAAATTGACAAAATTGTCAAAGCATCAAACGATGAAAACACAATCAAAATTGGAAATGAAGCGAAAGAAATCATTACAAAAGCCAGCCAGTTGATCAACAACATGGAATATTCAGAATCCGGTTTGATTACTGCAATGAGGAATGGCGATTGGGTTTTATTCGATGGTGTTGAATCATGTCCTTCAAATATTTTGGAAAGGATCATTACTTTGCTTGATTTCGAACCATCTTTGAATTTGTATGAAGTTGGTGAAGGTGTCACTTTTCATCCAAATCAAAAAATCCTCAAAATCAGATCAATGAAGACTTTAGAATCATTTTCACATACAATGATGTAGGAACACATAAAAAGACTCCTCTTCCACGAACAATCATTTCAAGATGTGCTATTCTAAAGATAGATCCAATTGATATTGATTATAAATCAATCGCACAAATAGCAATGCTCAATATTCCAGACACTAATTATGTTGATACAACAGTTGATAAGATTGAAATTGCTACAAGAATCGGAGTTTGTCATTGTGAAATTCGCAATTGGCTGAAGCAGGAGTATCCAAATGATTCAAGCTACGAAATAACAGGAAGATCAATATCAAGAATTTGCAGATTAATTACTTATTATAGTCAACCTGATGATAAAGATGTTGATTCCCAGCAAATCAAGAGAGCTTTGACAATCACTTACAATAAGAATCTTAACGAAATAGATAATGATGAGATTGAACTTAATCAAAAGATTTATAATTCTTTCTTTCAAAAAATTGATAAAGGTTTTGTTAAGGAATTAATGAAATTATATTTATCGTTATTAATTGATAGCAATGAATTTAAGAAATTAATTGAAGAAATAATAAAAAATGATCAGCCAATTATTGATGTATTTAAAGTCATTGAACGGGCAAAGATGAACGACATCTTGAATGCCATAGATTTATTGAATAATTGGGTCAAAACCAAATTGGTTCATCGATTTCAATTATTTGAAGAGATTGTATCAAATTGTTGAACAACTTTCTAAACTTAATGCTAACACAATCGAAGAAATCAAAGATTTAACAATAGCCAATTGTCAAAGATCAAAGGATTCTAAATTGAATGAGATCGTTGCAGAGTTTACATTCATTTCTCAAACATATCCTACATACGAAGACATTGTTTTACCAAGTGAACTCGCTTCAGAAAACATTGATTTGAAGTATATCTATATTTCTGATGAAATCAAAAACGATGTTTTTAGATATCCAAATTTATATTTCAATGTTCCAAATATTAGAGTTATTTCACAACCTTTTGATGGAATATTCAAACCTATTTTCGATGCTTACTTAATATGCTTTGAAATAAAAAGCCATGAATTACTTACATTACTTGATAAATTAACAACAATAATTATTAAGAAAGATTTATTACCATCAAAAACAGTTGAAATATCAGATCTAATTAATTCCTTCAATAATCCATTGACTGAACTTTACAACATCGATCTCATTGCGAAATCGTTCAAAAAATACGACAAGTTACCAAAAGATTTCATGGAAATTCTGAGTAAACTTCAAAATGAATACGACAAGAGAAATCTTAATACTGAAGATGAAAGGAAGTGGAATAAATTGAAGGAAATTCATCCAGAATTAGTATTTTTGTTTGATTTGACCGAAACAATTGGTTGGGTTCCAACTGGCATCGATCAAGAGGAAGTAATCAAACAAGCGAAGTTATCAAATATAGTTTCCTATGATAAACTTTCTTCTTATGTTACAAAGACTGATCCAGAAAACAAAGATCAATCTGACTGGTTTATTGCATTAATGGATTTCTCTTCTGATTTGTATCATTATTACAATCTTTTGAATACAAGCAGTTGCATTTCAAGTCTTTTATTATTACACAAGCGCGGCTACAACATAGGAAATATCTTTAAGACTTATGATGGTATTTCATTAACTTTGAATATGTATGATTCAAATGCATTACTTTTTGATATTTTTGACAAATACCTGAACGCAATTTATAATTCTGACAGGAGTTTATTCAATGTTAATAATCTCATTGAAAAGGTAAACAGCTATATAAACCAAAAAAACTTCCTAGTCCAAGCTGGTATGAATTTATTGTTAAATACAATAAGAAATATGATGTTAATTTGCCAATAAGAATTCCATTTTTCCCAGAAAAAAGTTTACTTAAAATTTGTTCTAAAATATATAAAACTAATTTCAGGACAGTCCAAAATATGAGGAAATACATGAAAGAAGACTATGAAAATTTGATTGCAAAGGCCACATCAAAGAAATACGACATTCGAGATTTCACTCAATTTGAAACCAATGACAAAATAATATCATATACTGATGAATTTCCAGCTCAAGGTCTTTTCTTGATTCGGAATCCAGACTTTTATAAACTTCTTGACGGATCAAATAAAGTATTGACATATAGTATGTTCATGATCAGAGTTGTTTCTTCTTTCAAACAAATCGTTTTCGAAACAGATAAGTTCACAAGTGAAATGAAAGAATCTGTCAACAATTCAATTCAAAATTTGTTGTCAGTTAAAGAAAACAAGAAGTCAATCATTGTTTCATTGTCTTTGTCAAATCCACCATATTGTTTCAAGGAATTCTTCACATGTTTGTTGCATGACTCCATTATACAAGCAGCAACATATACATCACATGATCATTATGTCAGACAAGCCAACTTGTTTATTGGAGATTACTTATCTTTCTGCTTGGAAAAATACAGTCCTTTGACAAAAGAAAAATGGGATTCATTTATTTGTGGACAGACAAGCTATCTATTGGATCCAATTGGAGAATATATTAGATATGTTCATGATCATCTCAAAGATAAGCGTAAAATATTTTCGGAAATGAAAATTAAATGCGATGAAGATATTAAAGAAAAAGAAAACCAAATCAAAAAATCACTTCTACAACTTGAAAAGGCAATGAAAATTGATGATCCATTGAAATACAGAAATCAGTTTGAACAAGATAGTTCTTCAAAAGAAATTGTTGAAGATGAAACCTCAGTAATTTTTGTTTCAAACCAGACAGAATATACATTCAATGATCTTTCAGAATTTATCAAAAACAAACAGTCAGATAAACCATATTTAGAAAAATTTAGAAACAAATTTAACAATCCTCAATACAAGAAAAATCCAGATATTACGGCATCTAATACTAAAGATCAATTAGAGAAGCTCGAAATGAAAATCCAAGAATATGATAGATGTATCAAAAATCTTCAAGAAGTTCGCCAAAAAATTGATAATTTTCCATTTAAGGAATTCAATCCTCCTGAAAATAAAAACAATAAACCAACCCTAGATTCTAATAAGGCTAATATTAAAATTGACTTCACTAAGGCTGATAATTCAGCGTTTAACATGGCAGCTGTTAATGTTGATAAAGAAAATGCTATTCCAACATTCAGTTCCATCAAAGCTGATGTTCCTTGCATATTAAGAGGCATCCAAACAACTCCAATTTGTATTCCTGTTTATGTTTTTGGAAATGCTTCAAAAGTTAACATCGAATTTCATCCAACATCACAAGAAACACCAACTCCAACTTATGAAATGAAGGATGCACAAATTAATTTAATCTTCCCAATAAATGACATAATACAAGATATGACTTTCACGGGAATAATGAACATCAACACTAAAAAGATTGAGTATGAAGTCAAGGCTCATTTCATTGACTCTGTTGTTTTCCTTGATTCTCGTGGAAACAAGTTTATCAATCACAGGGATGAAATTGCTTTTGAAAAAGATTTTATCGCAAAAGATAATATCAATATTATCCCAGAAATTCCAGGAGAAGAAAATCCAAAACAAAAAATTTTGGTCGAAAATGTCAAATGTCAGTTACCAGAATCTCCAATACAATTGAAAGATAATGACAAAACAATTGTTTTTCAAAAGTTTTCTAAAAATGTTTTGATCGATGGTATTACTTTCCACGTGTATCACACTCCATTGGAAAATTCACAAGTCAAAATCAATACTCCAATTAATTTGCATGATAGAAAAGTTTTCTTTAATTCATTATATCCACCATATAAAACAATATCAGAAAAAAATGAATTAGAGATTGGATACACGTATAATAAATACTGTTTCCTTGTTTCATTCTTCATGAAACAAAACTATTAAAGATTGTAACAACAATCTCTGCCTCATTAATAAGAAGATTACTTCTTCATTCGAAGAGCATCAAGGTCATATTATTATTGAAGTCGATATAAAGTCAATTGCAAGCAAGCAATCTGAAGAATCAAAGCTGGAAATTAGTATTGATGGACAACAATTCCAATGGAAAAAAGAAATTCCTTTGAAAATAATTTGTCCAAAAAGGGGAAATCTTCTTAAATTTGGAGAATGCAATTGCTTTTACAATGATATCAGTTATTCTTTATATCACAAGGATAGAATGCTTCCTCATGCTTATTATGACGAAAAAGGATATGGAACAATTCTGACCACAAATAAAATCAAATCCATAATGATTTTAGATAAAATAGTAAATGAATATACATATCAAAAGGCGCAAAAAGAAATGTGCTTATTGCTTTTCATTAATAATAATCTTTGGATTCCTGCTTCTGATCCTAAACTTGGTAAAATTGCAGCAAATATTAAAGAAATGCCAGAAACAAATCTTAAGGATCTTCTTAATAAATTGGAAGAATTCTTCGGAAAAAATGCGATTAACATCATTAACAGCAAAATCAAGAATTTTGTTAGGAAAGAAGATAGAGAACAATCAATAAAGGAGTTTATTGTTAAACAAATGCAGGAGAAATTCGATAAACTCACAAAAGATGATTTCCAATTAACATATGATGATCAATTTAATATTAACGATGTTAATAGCAAAAGAAACATAAAATTTGATCTGAACAAAGTTTACACACAAAAAGCCAAAAACAGTGAACAATTGGAACAAAATATTCCAAAATTTGCATCGTCCGAAAGCACAACAATTGTAACCGAGTTCAAGGCTGATAGTTTACACAAACTAACATTTGATACAAGGATTATTAGTCCAGATGAAAGAAAGGTAATATCAGAAAGTATTAACACGAAATTTGAAGAAGCAAATGAACCAATGTTGAAATTGGACATGGTTCCAAATGATGAAGAATTCGATGAAGAAGGAATCGCATTTGGAGCATTAACATCCGCAAAAGCAATTTATGAAAAAATCTCTGAAATTCTCTCCAGATGCAGAAAATTTGTTTTGATAATGTCAAATTATAAAGATTATACCAAAGGATTTCCAAATTCTCAAGCAGAAATACAGTTCAAAAATTTGGCAGCTTTCTATGCATGGTCGAGCAACGAATCTACACTAAAAACAACTCCATTCTTGTCTCAGTGCATTGAATTCAACAACAGTTTCATTTCACTTTTCAAAATTTTGAATAAGTCTGGTTGCAAGATTCAAAATCTTAAAATAAATGAGAAAGATCTTAAAAACAGCGATCTTATTCAATCTATCATGAAGCCAAAGCAGCCATTGCTTTCTGTTGAACAGTTCAAGAAAGACTGGGTAATGGTCTCAAGGAAGCCATTAAATCTCAATATCCCATTACCAAATCCTCCAGATAATAAAAAGAAACCAAATCCTCAAGAAAATAAAAATAATGGTACAATTGTCACAGAGATTCCAAGGAAGGAATTTACTAATCAAATTGGATTAAACTCACAACACGGAAGAGGATGAGGACCAGTCAAAGATGAAGAAGCTTACAAATATATGATTGAAAACATTGACAAACCACAAAATTATGCCGAGGACTTGGAAAATAAACAAGGTTTAGGAAATGTTAAAATCAATGATATTGCTCCAGATACTGAATTACCAATTGATAAATTCATTGATTATGCAACAGAAACTACTTTCAACATTGTTAATTATGCAAACAAAGTACAAATCAACACTAACTCCCAAATTGTTTTGTTGCTTGATATTAAATCAATAACACCAGAAGATATCAAGCGCGACATTTTGTTGTATTTTGTTGCTTTTGCAATGGCATGTTCTCAACTTGGACTTGAATACAGACTTGCTGTTTTCGCAGATAGAGAATTCCAATACTTGGAAATCAAGAAATTATCTGAAAAATTGCAGAGAAAACATCTGCAAGTTGCTCTTGAAACTTTCGATACAAAGAGATTATCATCCGATCCATTTATTGCCATTCAAAAGATAATAAATAACGACATAAAGTCATCATATAGTTTCTTCGTCTTCTCAGATGGAAACCTCTTGAACACAACAGTAAAATCATGGTCAAGTTGGGATAAAAACACTCATTCAACATGTACTTGGTTAATCCAACCACCTGAAGAATTCAATAATCCAATTGTAAATCAATACAAACGCCTAAACGAAGAATATGAGAACATGTTCTATGAAGTAAACAAAATTGCTGATGGTGGATTCAACAAATGTGAAAAGTTCATTGAAACGTTCTTCAAAGGTTTCAGTAAAGGAAACTTAGAGAACAAAGAAAAAACAGTTAAATTGTCTTTATCGCAAAACAAGATCAATATTACTTGTTCCTTCAAACCTATTAAAAGCACAGACTCTCAATTTATTTGTGTATCAGAAAATCTACAAACATCGATGACAAGAATCTGCGAAGTTACAGATAACAGTGAATTTGATTTCATTCCAAAATCAAATAATTCGATATTTGGTTTGGAAGATTTCGAAAGAAATATTTCGGACAACTTCAATACTGAAGAAATGTTCACTCCAAACAAAGCAATGCAGTATATTGCATCAGAGAAAGGCAGCGGAATATCAATGTCAGGATTAATCAGATTCATAATCACAGATGGCCAAGACCAGAGATTTAGACTCGAAAAAAAGGCAGGTTATGTACCAAGTTATTCCTTGTTTTTCGTCATTGATTGTACAGAATCATCATCTGGAATGCTCTCAATGAATACTACAGTACTAACTGTCTTCAGCACATTAATTGCATTCAAAGAATGCAACTGTCCAATCACAGTAATTTTGGCAACTTCCACCGGTCCAGTTGCAGTTTGTATCAACAAGAAGAAAGAAGACATTTTCATTGATAACCCCCCAGTTTTCACAGAAATATATAGATGGTTAACAGCAGCGAATATACAATCTCAAACAGTATTTGGATTCTCTCAGGCATTGACAGCTGCATACAACATCAGGTGCAGACAACAAGAACAAGAATCTGTTCTTATTGCAATCACAAGTGCCCATTTCTATCAGACTGAGATGGGTGCAGTTGGAACATGCATCTCCACATTGCAGTCATTGAAGACATCTACAATTGGTGTTGGAGTAGGAATTTGTCCGAAGAATATCTCGAAAGTTTTCAGTAAATCTGTTTGGTCAGATAATCCTCTGAAAATTGGAGAGTGCTTCAGCAAATTATCACATTTAGATACAAGTGAAGGAATTACAGAAGGAGAAATAACTTCCCCAGTTTTACCAGAGAAAATCTCGATTAAAGAACTCAATGCTCAATTAAGTAACAAAGACAACAGATTTTTCACAGACCTCACTAATAAATTGGAAAAGATCCAGATATTTGATGCAGCTTGTGGCTACTACATTAACGAAAGACCAGCAAATATTGATGTTCCTTCAACAAAATCAGGTAAAGGCCAAGAGCCTAAAAGTAATCTCCCAGATGAAGATCTCGGCAAGAATGCAAAATGGCCATATAAGATTCTCATTTGCCAACTCTACGATGCAACAGTAAACCAAGAAGGAGAACAAAATAAACAAGAACCAAATCCACCATCTCGACCATTATCACCTCAAAAACTACCTCCTCCGATTATAAGAATTAAAGGTATTCATAATCAAGGAAATCAAGGTACTCCAAATAAAGGAAATAAAGGTACTCCGGAAACAGAAAATCAACCAATAGACAAATATGTCACATTCCAAACTTTGAATGGTAAAAATGGAATTATTTGCCGTTTGAGAGACCTTGGCTTTACAGTCACAGTTTCTCAGAATTACTGCAATTGTATTGCCGAAATATTATCAGGAGAATACCACCAAGTTTGGGTTATTTGCTCAAATGGCCAAGAGGCAAAACCATCAGATGCTGGAGTTTATCCAAAAATTAAAAAGAAATCTAATCAAATCAGAGGAGATTCAACTGATTTCTCACACGCTTACCAATTTGTTGAGACAGTTGAAATGTTCAGGCAGAAAGGTGGTGGTATTTCATTTTGGGCTGATCAGGGATTCACCTTTGAATTGGACTATTATTTGAAACATGTCAAATTGTATGATTGTGATGAATGTGATTCAAAATCACAAAATCACAAAATACCAGTTAAACTTAGGTTCAATGGCGAAGATCCAGTCAGAGGACAAGTTCTTGACAGAAAAACTCCAGCAACTTTCGAAAAGAAGTCATTCGATTCAGATGATTCTAAGAAAATTGCAAATTATGATTATTATCTTTACGGATACAATGTTCTTAAGTTGCAAGAAGGAACAACAATTGCAGGAGCTAAAATCCCCGATGGTTTGAACTATAATGAAATCTGTGAGCATATCAAACCATTTAGACCTTTCTCACTCAGTTCCGATAAAGGATTAGTTTCTGGCTGCTATTATGTCTCTCCCAAATATTCCAATGAAGGTGACATAATCATCGATGGCGCTGCTTCTCGTCTCTTCAAAGAACTCAACTTGGAAGGTGTCAAGAGATTGGTTAGAAACATGGCTGTTTGCCTTGTCAACAAATGGAGAACTATCGCAGAGACAGGTCACTATGAGAATATGCAACCTATTTCTGGTATTAAATTACCTCCAATTCCTAAAGAGATACCTGCTCCAATGAGAAAATTCAAACCAATTGATTTGGTTTTCATATATGATGCAACTAAATCCACAGAAAAAATCAAGGATTTGATTAAATTCCAGATCAAAAACGCCATCGATTGGTTCAAAGAAACAAATGCCGATGTCAAAATTGCACTTATTGCATTCAGAGATTTGATTTACGCAAAGAAATTGAATAGGTCTATTGGCAAGAATAATACCGAGTACATTAATTTCCTCCCTATTGATAGAGCCGATGAATTGGTCAGTGCAATAGAGTTTATCCCCTGCCAAGGAGGAATGGGAGATGGTCCAGAAGATTGGAACTCAGCATTCAAGGCGTACTTCATGCTAGATTTCAAAAAAGAAGCTGCACAAATCATTTTCTTCATCACAGACGATGGAGCTCATCATCCTGATTTCCATTCCAAGCCTGATAATGAATTGGCTGCAAAACTATTAGCTGAAGGTAAAAGTTCCAAACTGATGATGAGAAATACTCAATTGATTATTTCATTGGACTTAACGAAACATTGACTCAGAAAGATCAATTAGAAGTATACATTAAGAAATTGGCCAAACAAAATCCATTCTGGATATTATGTACATTTAGTCGTCAAGTATTTCGTCCGATGCAGATATTCCGCAATAAATTATATAAACACAATTCAAAATCAAGTTGCATCACTATAACATTTGACATCTGGTGTCCAAGGAAAGGGCTGGAAGATATCAAAATGAATCATGATTATAAAATCATTGATATAGGAAATGATGCAACATCTAATGATAACATATTGAATAATTTACCTAAACAAGACCTTGATAAGATATTTATGGAGGTCTTTAATGAAACGAAATTATTCATTGAAAATAATGCAACTATGTTTTAAGTAAAATTTGTATTTTTTTTTTTTTTTTTTTGATTTATGCCAGCATTAATAAATTCGGTATTCATTAATTTTTTATAACTAAGTTTAAGGATGTCAATTTGGAAGAAAAGTGAGAAAATTCCTAAAATGCTAAAAATGAATTTTCCAAACGTACTTTTTTATCTAATTTTTTTGATTTTGAAAAAATTTGGAAAGAAGAACTCTTCGTTTTTGAATTTTGTCACGATGGTTTTAAAGTATATTAGACACATGTATTGATATTACTATTTTTGTATATTTTGAGAGAAAATCCCTAAAAAGTGAGAAAATCCGAGACGGTTTGAGAAAATATATAAACTATTGAAAATTTGAATTAAACTTCTAATTTGGAAAAAAGAAATTTGGAAAGAAGAAAATTCAAAAATCGAGATTTAGACTCAGTATCAAATGGAGAACAAAATGTTTCTTCATATGAAGGAAAAAATTTTCTTGAAAAGAAATAGAGTTTTTAAAATTTTATTGTATGTAATGAAATAAACAAATATTAAAATTATTTTTTGATAACAAGAAAATTCCCAACAGAAAATATTTGAGACAAAGAAAAAAAGAAAATTGAAAAATATTACTCTCCTTTACATTTCATGAGATTTTCAATTTATTTTCATAAAATTGACAATTTTATACGTTTAGATGAAAATCTCATGTAGAAGGATATCAATGTACTGACTGAAGGATATGAAGTGAATTGAATTTTATTGAATTTCAATTTGATCAAAATTTGTTGAAATGATATGAATGTGTCAACTTCTGTATCATTCTCCTTCACTCCTTCCTTATTCTTTCGAGAACGAAGCTAGCTCAGCTTTCGCTGAGCGAATTGACACTTTTCATGCCCTAAACGTACATACTCTCAAATTTATCGAAAAAATTAATACCACCTAAACTAGTATATTCTTATTTTAAATATGATATTATCCTTATATTCCACACTAAAATTCATTTAAATCAACTTTTTAAAAAAGTTCGAATCCTGCGCGTCTCACTTTTTAAATTTTCCAAATGGAAAATTATATTCTCCTAAAGTGAAAACAATTTTCCAAATTGACTTCCTTACTAAGTTAGGGTAGATTTATGCACAAAATCTATAATTTAAACCAAAATATAAAATACATGCGAAACAAAGAAAATCGAATGCGAGCCGGGGCCGATCTTATACTAGAAGTTTTAAAAAAGCTTACGTGTCAGATTTAGCTCAGTGGTAGAATGCCCCTATCTGAAGTTGTGAGGTTCGATTCCTTTGAATATCATTTTTTTCTTTTTAAAAAAAAAATGGTAAATTTCATTACAAAATATATTTATTTCGACAAAAATAAGTCATTGCTTCACTGGAATAGCAAGTTCACCTGGATAGTATAAACCTGTGATGGAATTATACTCAATTGAGGAATTTTCAATAAGAGAGTTCAAAATTTCTCCAATTTCATTATTAATATCTTCTTCAGAAACATCAGGATGCAAAAGATGAATTTTATAAACAATATTTTCTTTGGTGATTCCATCTTCACACCTAGCAATAAACTTCCATACTTCTTGAGTTTTTTGGTCTTTAAACTTTGCGCTATTAAGGGTGCACACGAGAGGATCGTGTAAACTTCAGAATTTAGAACCTTATTTTTAGGCATTATCTTGGCTACCTATTTAGGCTCGAAAAGCAAAAAATATCAAAAAATACAACTTGACTCCATTATGACCCTTTCATGGAGGTAGTTTTTATCCGCTAGTATTTTCCCTTTGAATCTCTTTACAATTCGAAATCAAATTCAAACCTCAGTAGAAGAAAGGAAGAATCGACTTACTACGGTTGTAATACGAATAAATACATATATTTAATTATTTTTATTTACATAATAATTGTTTGAAGCTCATATTCCAACAAATTTTTAAATAAAAACATTAAAATGTTGAAAATGTTCATATATTTTAATAGGGTTTTGGCACTTTATTGAGGAATTACTACATACATAGTCGAACTGAACTTGATATTTTGAAATTTAAATTATTTATCAAAATTAAAATTTAACTTGAAATTTATAATTATTTAGTCATATTTTGCATAATTCTAAGTAGATTTTGTAAAAAAATCAAGAAAGAAAAATTTTAACGTGCTTTATTTTTTCTTTTTTATAATAATACATATTATTATATAATTAACATATTCATAATGTTTCACCCTTTCAAAAATATAATCCTCCTCCTCTCAAATAAACGTACATACGGGTGGCCTCTTTTTTCAAAAAATTAAAATTTGAAATTTTGGGCTCAAATATTAGAGATTTTTTCAACCTTCAACGATATATGTTGTCTATATCAGACCTCCTTTCTTTTTGATACTTAACATTGTTCCTAAATCTTAGCCGTTAAGGCTGTTCTGAAAATATTTTTTTTTCGAAAAAATTCGAAAAAAATTCTTAAAATTCAAAAATCAATTAATTCCTGAGGATTTTGGAAAAAAGTTTTTACATGAACATGTGTATATTATATGAAGTATATTGATAAGGTAAAAATCAAATTTTATTGCATATTCATCGAGAAAATAAACTAACGAATCCCTCAAAATTGAGAGGGTAATCCTCCTCCTCTCAAATAAACGTACATACGGGTGCACCCTTAAATCAATATATCTTTATAGTAGTTGCAAAAAAGTTTAGCAGTAATATAAGGTACTAGGTAATGATTTAAAATGACTTTTTCCCGAACAAAATTATAAACTTTTAACCTTTGAAAATTTAGATAAGAATTTGAGTTTCGATATTAATGTAAATACAATGTAATAAACTACTATGTATGACGAAAACTTCAATCTCTCTCCACAATTAAAGGAAGTTTGGGGTTTTATTACTGGGAAAAATCTGCTTGAAGTTATTCATGTGAATTTTTTTTCTATGTAAATAACGTATTTCTGATTGAATTAATTCAATGGTGTTGGACTGATAGCATATAAATGAACAATGCGAAAAGATTATTCGAATCCGATTTGTTTGAAAATTGAATACTTCAGAAAGTTATTACAATTCAAATTTTTGGCAAAAATACGAAATGCTTAGTTTTCTTTTCTTATTTATAAGCGGGAAAAATATAACTATTTCGAAAAGGGGTAGTACTTCAAGTTATACTATCTATTATCCAGCAGCTCATCCCGGAGAACAGCCTTGGTGGCGTTTTGCAGCCGTTGAGCTTCAAGCAGGTATCAAAAATATAACAGGTGAAGTGATTCCAATAGAAACTGATGCAAAGGAGATCAAAGACAAAGCTATTTTGATAGGTCCGACTAAGTTTTCTAAAGAATTGACAACATTACATTTTACTGATTTACGACTTGATGCATTTGAGATCAGATTTGTTAAAGGAGAGCATCTGATTATTAATGGTGGCTCTCGTGGTACAATTTATGGAGTTTACGAACTCTTAGAAACATACGCAAAATTCAGATTTTATACTACATGGATGGAATTCTATCCATCTGCAGAAGAATTTAATGTAGATTCAGAAGTTAATATTAGTGATATTGCTGGAATACAATGGCGCCAGATTTATGGAACAGATACAATTTTGAATTTCCGTCACAACGTTAGAAAGAGAGCCAATGCTGGTGATCAAGGTTTAGGTTATGACACAGGAGGATATCTATGGTCAACATTCGGGGTTCATACGTTTTGGGCTCAACTTCCGAAATCTGAATATCCTCCATCACAATATCCCGAAATGTGGGCACTTTTACCAGATGGATCACGATCTAGTAGTGCACCATGTCTTACAAACAAAGCAGCCTTCGATGTTATCCTTTCAAAAATTATTGCCGAAGTTGATAAAGACAATACATCATCATTTATTGATGTTGGTCATAACGACAACATGGATTATTGTCATTGTCCTAATTGCAAAGCACTAACAGAGAAATATGGTAATAGATATTCAGGAGTATTATTAGATTTTTGCAACCGTTTGTCAGATGCAATTAAACCTAAATATCCAAACCATATAATTCGAATGTTGGCCTATTATATGACAGAAAATCCTCCATTTAATATACAAGGGAAAGATAAAGTTGGCATACATTTATGTCCATTAGGAAATGATATTGGACATCCTGTCAATGAATCCAAACATCCACAAACAGTTATATTTAAAGAAATTGTTGCTAATTGGTCAAAAGTCGTTAAATACGTCGAAGTTTCTGAGTATTACACAAATTTCAGAGCTCCTATGCATTTAACACCGAATTATTGGATGATTGGCAGAAATATACAATACTATGCATCATTAGGAGTTAATGGATATACAGCAGAAGATATAATGTTTTGGACAAGAGCTCCTCCAACGAGATTAGCTCAACATGCTGATTTTACTTATTTTAGGCAATACGTTATGTCAAAAATGATGTTTTATCCTACACGACCTGTTTTGTATTATGAAGATGATTTCTTATATGGATACTATGGAGCATCTGCTGCATCATATGTAAGAAGATTCTTAAATGCTACAAAAGAACTTGCTGATTCTCATCCAGAAGCATATGTTGGATGTCTTGCCCCTGAAATACAAGGATATCAAACAAATAATTATAATTATTATGCGTATTGGCTTTTCGGAAAAGCTGTTGAAAAAGCAAAAGAAACTGCAACAGAAAAACAAATCTTTAATATAATGATGGCTGAACTTCCCTCAGCAAATACTGTTATATCCATGGAAAAGAAAATGAAATGGCCATTAGTTATTGATGAAGAAGGAAAAATACGTCTCCAAGGTTCAAAAATTAAAGAATGTGCAACGAAGATTTTGGAGAGATGTAAAGATCAATATTATGTAGATAATTATACAAAAGGAGTTTGTTTTGTTACTGATAGTTTTGATACAAAAGCTGAAGGTGTTTACAAAGAATTAAAATATTTAAGAGATTCTAATCCAGCATTGATAATGAAATCAGGTGATTTGAAAGCAATTTCAGGTGAAAAACCTGCATATGGAAGAATTTTTTCTTTTATGAAAGGAAATAATGAATATATTGATAGTATTGAAGGAATTGATTTTTGTATGTATCCAACATTTAAGATTGTTAATCATATTGATTATGATATGAAACAAGGAACGAAAACAGACAAATCAATTTCATTTAGTTTTACAAATAATGAAATGAAAATGGAAAAAACTTATACACTAAATGATAATAATTTATTATTAAAGTGTAAATTCACGAATACAAAAACATCCGTTTTCCAATCAAGGCCTTGTTTCTCATTAAATCTTGATTTAGGTGATAATTCAGACATTTTCTATAAATTAGGAAATGGAAATTGGGAAAGACCAAATATAGAAATCGTTGCAACTTATGTAAATCATTTTGGAAAACAAACAAAATCTCAATCTACTTTATCTATTTGTAGTGGAAAAACAAAGAAAGGAATGAAATTTGATTTTACAAGTTCAAAAATTTCATTTTTCTCTGTTTGTTTGAACAAATCTTCAAAATACGTTAAAGTCTATATTGGTACTGATTTTGTTGAATTAAATTCTAATGCTGTTTATGAGAATTCTTTAACAATGACACCATTAGAAAACATCCAGAATTTACCTTCAACTGCGATGCCGAATCTGGAAACACCTAATCAAATTGTTCATTTCTATCCTTTGTATTATCTTAGTATTAACTTCAAAAAATGGCAACCAATGAATGATGACATGTCGTTCTTAGGAATTTCTGCATCAAGTATCTCAGGAAAACCTTCTAGCGGAAGTAAGTTATCTTTTAATGTTGCAAAGGAATTTCCTCAAGTTTTTGGAGTCTCAGGAACATGGATTAATATGTCATTTAGATCAAGATGTACTGAACGAAATATGTCTGATATTTGGCCATGGTGGAGTGGATATTCACAGAAAGGAGTTGGAGATATTTATCAGGGATCAGAAACAAGGGATATTCCTAAAGATGATGTTTATTTTGATATTTCTTTGAAAGAAATGAAAAACGCTACAGAAGAAATTGGTGTATGGTTGGAATGTACAAGAGTTTGTAAGAGATTATGGGTTGATGGTCTGAAATTTTTGCAAAGAACGAATTCTTATGCTTATTATGGTTACCCTGATACGAACTTCCAAATGAATGATGATTTACCTCCAATGAAAGAACCTAATTTAAATGATTATATTTTAGAAGCAAATCAAGCAGAAGAAAAACCGACGAATAAAAATAAAGCCGGAATCATCGCTGGTTCTATAGTTGGTGCTTTAGCCCTTATTGCTATTATTGTCGCTGTTGTATTTATTGTAAGGGCAAAACGTGCGGAAAAATCTGCTTCTGACAAGGAAGTAACAGTTTGATTGAATTTTAAATAAAAAAATAGTTAAATTTTATTTTGATTTCTGAGATTTCAATGATAAACAATTCATCTGATTACATTTTTCCCCTTCAATTGATAACTTAAGGGTGCACTTACGCCCCTATAACACGTCATTCAATTCGGATGTTTAAGGTTGATTTTCAATGACGCTTCACGCCAGTTGTTAGTAAACATATTAACATGTATATTTAATCGTACAACACATGGTTAATTGTGCTGTAATTCTATCAAAAAATTCAAAAAAAAATTCAAAATTCAAATTTTTAGGAAAAAATATACTTTTTCTATCGTCTCCTCCCCACCAGTGGGAGCCACCGGAGGCGCGGGCGGCGCCGCTGGCGCCAAAAAAGTAGCGCCCATCGTGCCATGTATAATCTAAAAGGAATAAAATTACTAAAATATATAAAGTTATAAATGTATAATTTGAAAGAAAAATTGAATACTTTCTGACAAAATGTCAATTTTAAAATGTCACTTTTTGGAATCTTTTGAGATTATTTGTCGAATTTATAATCTTTTGATTGCTTATATTTGATTCGTTTCAATCCACTTGGCGGTTGACCTCTATTTACTTGATACTTCAGTTCATCAATGACTCTGTAAGGTTGAGGGTATATTTCGTAAATGAAAGGAGCAAATGCAATTGATAAAGCTTGAATTAATTCTTCATTTTCGGAAATTGTACTGTATTCTTGTGATTCAACAGAATAATCGTCTGTCATTGTTTTAGAATAGCGAGCAATGACAAATTTGTAAGGTAGTTTGATGTTAAAACGTAATTTTGTAATACTGCATGTAGTTTTAGTATTTATCGAGTTAAATGAGTACATTATTGTGTGTAATATTCCTACATCATCGCTATAAGCTTGAATAATAGAAGTACCAATAAATTGAGAATTTATTGATTTAATGATATTTAGTGATTTTTCAATATATTTTTGTTCCGTTGGGTTTAATTCGAATGAAATGGTTGATTTACATTCTTCTGCATAGATAGGAAAAATTTCATTTAAATTTTTATTGTCAATTTCTTCAGGTTCGAAAGCTTCGTAAACGTAAAATGTGCTATGCGAGTATAGTTCTTTAGCATATGCATCCTTGCCACCATTAAATGCCCGCTGAGCAGCAAGAACAATCAAATTCGTAGACATTTTTATCAAAAAAGTGACAAAATAAGATTTTAAAATTATATTATTATCAGATCATTGAAATAATAACCTTTTAGAACTGATATCAATTGGGGAGAAGCTTCCTAAACTTTTTAATCCCATAAATATTTGGATAAGGAAGTTTATAATACGTGAACACTTGTTTCCTCATCGAAAAGTCATAACGCATAAAGTCGATGTTTCCTTAGTACAAAAAGTGACATATGACGCTTAACTCTTTATTCCAGATAATGACCATATTTATGGGATTAAAAAGTTTAGGAAGCTTCTCCCCATTATCGCCAAATTAATTATACGAAATTTTTGGTTTTATGGTTAATTTGCGAAAGTGAATTAGCTTCTGAATCATTATGTATTAATATATATTTACTTGTATGAAATTTTAAGAAATACATAAGATCCTCTACATATTAGTTGATAAATTGATTTTTATCAATTTTAATATTGAGTTGATTCATATGTGATACTAAGCAACTGGATTCGATGGTATATTACATGATAACACATTACTCATTTGTGCTATATATAAATTGATAATTCAGCATTTAGTTTTATTGAACAAAAGCATAATTCTTATATAAATATTTCAATTACGCACACTATGACAAATGATTATAACGATTTATAAGAGGAAAAAAAATTATAAAAATAAAAATTATATTTATATAGTTTGAGTTAAATTAAAAGGATAAAAATAAAGAAGGAAAACATGAATGAGTTAACCGTGGAATATCTAGAAACGCAAGAATAATTTTTGATGCAATCGTTATGTTTCCACATGTGACACTGAGTGTTCACAACGAAACTATACGATCCTGTATATGGACTAGAATTAGGCACCGAACCAAACGAATTTTTATCAAAAGAACAGTAAGTAACAGACAATCGCTTCAGAAGGAAGTTATTTGCAGTATTTTGAGCAAAAACACAATGGTCGACAACAGATGTATCTTTGAGTAGGCATAAAAAACTTTGAGATGCTTCACCAACAGAATCTTTATAAAAATTTGAATTTTGTATTAAACAAACGGAATCAGAGCAGATTATTGCGTTAAATTCTGCTACTCCTAGTAATACATTTAGGAAGGATGCAGTTGCTCTACCAACTGAATATCCTAGATAAAATCCAGGTGAATTATAGATGTTATTGTTTGTTGAATTGTAATATGAAGTGGAAGCTTTACCACCTCCGATCCAAATCATATCAGAGGTGCGAGGTGTAGTTATGCAATCAACTATAGAAATCATCGAAATGTAATTTATATTTTCGGAGGTTTGCGAAATGTTAATAAAGCCATAATTGGATTTTGTACTTGAATAAACATTTCTGGCGCAGATATCTTTTTGATAAACCGAGTGACCAGGAAAGAAAAGAACGCAGCCACCATTTTGATTTGATGTAATGGAAGTAAATGTGGCATGTTCAAGAATTAAAATAGAATTTTCTGCACAAATGCGTATAGCACCATCGTTTTTAATACTTTCGAATAAATTTCCGCTGAGATGATATATAACAGGAGCGGTCTGAACCCTATTTGATGATGGTAAGAATGTCCAATATGATTTGCCTTTAAGGAATTCATCAGATGAAAAATCAGACAACTATCCCAAATCAGAAATACATTTTTTTGACAACTATCACAAATTTTGAAAGCGATACGAAATTCGATATGGTTTCCAAATAATGTGATTTAGAAGAATGACTTTAATAATTATAAAATGTTATAAGAAATAATTTGAACCACTGAAAGCAATTTCAAAGATTTGTCCACTTCATATCTATCTCTCAAGACACAATAGCTTTGTATAATGCAAAGTTTTTAGTCCTATTTTAATATTTTTTAAATTTGCAATATATCATTTTAAAAATTCTCCGACTAAGTATTATAACAATATTTAACCCTTTAAAGATAAATAATTGATATCGGATTTAGTCATTAGTATATCAAATTTATAGATTAATGTCGCGATGATTTTTTCTGATAGCTTTATCAAAATCTTATTCTCATAAATTTCTAAACTCGATACTCCCTCGTAATAGAAAAACTTTTTTGGATTTATTAACATATATTATATGTCTATAAGCTGTCTATGTATATGCTTTGAAAGATGAATTCTTCGAGTTGATTTCAATGGGGAAAAATACATTGATAATATCTAATATTTTTATTTACAATTAAGAAAGATATTAAAATAGAAACGGGGAGAAAAAAAGAGTTACTTAAGCATTAGATGTGATTGAATAAAAGAATCCTATAATTCCCTGTTTTGCAACCATCTTTCTGATTTGATTTTCATCATAAGAAATGCCTAATCTATCAAAAATCATGCACAAATCATTTGCAGTTCTTGCCTTTGAAAAAACAGCATCAACATTTGTACCTGGTCTAATTTGTTGTTGAATATTATATATAACTTCTTCATCATCAGTCATTTAACTGTTTTGCATATGTGACTTGTTAGATCCGGCCTGTATATGCGTTCCCATGTTGGCACCATCGCTCATTATCTTGACAAATGATGCAAGGGTAAGATCTCCTCCATATCTATCGCATACAGCTCTCATTACATCAATTGGTATATCTAAATGACAATCCTTGCGAAGTCCATTGCAAAAATACTCTGGATCAAGTAGCTTCTTCTCAATCTTCCACTTGCTCCACGCACTTGCAGAATATCTCATTTCATCAAGAACTTTTTGAGATAGCTTGATAATTGTACTATTGATCTCATCATCACTGATGCAACTCTGCTGATAATTGACTGTACTTGCAGGTTGACAATATTGATTTCTTTGATAATATTGATTTGACCAATTTTGATACTTATCATCATTTTCTTCTTGCGAAATGGAATTGGCAAATAGAAAATACCTGACATTGCCATTATTATATGACTGTGAGAATAAATTGGATATTTTTTGGTTTGAATTGATATTTATTCCGAAATTCGAACAGATCTTGTAAAACATATCCTGTGTAATAGATCCATTCATTTGGGCATCATAGTTCATGCACTGTGATATTATATCTCTCATGCTATGCTTTAATGTGCCTATCATCAACTTGAAAAATGATGATAAAACTTTCTCTCAAAAGTTCAGAAAATTTTATTTGAAATTATTTGAATGGAGGAGAACCAAATCTCATTTTTTGGAAAGATCGTATGTAGATATATATATTTGGAACAAATCAGTTAATATTTTTTGAAAGAAAAGAATTTGACATCAAATGACCAAATCTCATTTTCCTGGTTTACCATATATTGCTTAGACACTTTCTAAAATTGTAAAGTATTCAATATAACCTCAAAAAATTCAAAACCCAGTCAATATCCAACTTTACGATGTTGGATTCGAAGAAGATTATTTATATATTTGAAATCGGAATAGTAGTTCAACATCAAATTCGAATATTATACAAAAGAACTTCATTATAAATAGCTCTGTTTTTAAACAAGATCGCTTCATTTCAAGAAAAAAAAGTCATTCGGTATAAGATATAAGTATAAGTATATCTTAAAACAATATTGATGATTTGTCCTTTGAAGAACACAGAATTCCAGATGTTATTTGATTTCTTAATCAAAATTCAACAATTCATATGAAAAATTATAAAACATTATTGGGTAAAAAAATCTATTGTTTATAAGTATTATTATCACGCAACTGGTTCAAACTTATTGTTTCTTTTCTCTTCATCGAAAGTTTTGAAGAGCTCGTTAAAGAGTTTGATTGCTGAAGCTCTTCCCATATCATCGAAATTAGTTCCTTTCAGAGCTCTGAAGAAGTTCACATAAGGCTTATTTGGATCAAAAACTTTTGCTCTTGCTACAGGTTTTCCATCATTACTTTTGTCGATAATCTCTAACTGTTCTACTTTTTCTCTTGCGGCTTTCATAACTTCCGAAGGGAAACCAGCTCTTTCAGCGGCATCTATACCGAAAGAGTCTCCGAATGGTCCTTCAGCGAATGTATACATCATTCTCAAACAGTCTTCACTATCTGCCTTCATGTGGAAGTTCTTTACGCAACTTATTTCTTGTTCTAAATTGCACAACTCATGGAAGTGTGTTGCGAATAACGTAAAAGCACCAATTCCATTTGCAAGTTTCTTGGAAATTGCCCATGCGAGACCAAATCCATCAGAGCAAGATGTAGAACGGCCAAGCTCATCAATAATAACCAAAGAATTGGCGGATGCACTTTCTAAAATGCTGGCCATTTCAGTCATTTCGAAAGTGAATGTTGACATGTTCAAGGAATCAGAAGCTCCAACACGGGCGTGAATGGATGGAATAATTGGAATTGTTGCTTCAGAACATGGGACGAAAGACCCAATATGTGCCATGTAAACGCAGCATCCAACAGTCTTAAGAAGTGTGGATTTGCCAGCACTGTTTGGACCAGAAATGATAATAAATGAACTTGTTCCTTTTTGCATTTTAATGTCGTTTGCAATGAAATTGACATGTTTTTCAAGGATTGGATGTCTTGCTTGGACAAGATTGATTTCTGGAGAACCAACATCTGATAATTTTGGTCTAACATATTGATTTGCAGCTGCGCTCTGAGCTAATGCACAGAATAAGTCAATTTTAGCAAAAACTTCTGATAAATTCTCGAAAACAGGAGAAAATTCTGTTAATGTTTCCAAAAGTGTCTTTTGTATTTCTCTTTGCTTGACAGAGTATTCACTTTCGAGAGTAATAATCTCATCTGCCATCTTCTTGATGGAAGGAGTGATGAAATGAACACCATCTTTTCTTGTTTCAAGAATTGTCACTGTTGAATCAGATCTAATCTTTGATTCCATATTTCTTGGGATTCTCAAGTAGAAACTCTTCTGATTGGCCGCTCTTTCGATCTTAAGTTTATCATCTTCAATGCAGCAGTTCTTTGCAATCTTTTGACGCTTCTTTTCCATTGCTGCTTTGATTTCATCGACCTTCTCTGCTGATTCTGATAATCCTGGATCAAATGATGGCTTGATTCTGTAAATGTGCTCTGGAATTAAAGAGAAATCAATTGTTGCTTCAATTAAAGTCTTAGCCTTATTGATATTCTCTGAACATTCTGTAATTTCATCAAGGAAATCTTTGAATTCTGCTACATTTGGGGAAGTAAAGAAATCAAATTTTTCAACAACAGAAGCAACATCATAAAGTTTGACACAATCGGGTAATGTTGCCTTTCCACGTTTGAATTTACGCATAATTCGTTCAACATCAGGAAGCTGTTTCATAATTTGATGAGTTTGATTTCTAATTTCATTTTCTCTGATGAAAGCTTCAACGATATCAAGTCTCTTGTTTATTTCAGCAGGATTTAGTAATGGCTGGAGCATCATTTGCTGAAGTAAACGAGATCCCATTGGAGTAGAACAGATATTGAGTAAAGCAAAGATAGATGTTGGTAATCCTGTTCTGTTTGCTTCTCCATCTGGGAATATATTGAGAGCAGCTGCAGCAGAATAGTCTACAGTCATGAATTCTGATAATGTAAATTTCTTGATAGTGTATTCGGGAAGATTTGGCTTGATTGTAGCAACTATAGCTTTGCAAGAGTTTGTATTCGGGAGTGTTCCGATTTCATGAACTTTTGACTTAGATGTTTCTGTCTTGTAATTAATTCCGAACTTATCAATGATATCAAATACCTTCTTCTTGCAGAAATCAGGAACTCCTGCAATTAATACTTCACTTGGCATTGTTTGTGTCATTAAAGTTTCAAAATGGCAAAATGATGGAGTTTCAAAGAATTCTGTTGTAGCTATTGTGTAAAGTGTTGGATCGCAAACGCAGGCATCGATAGAAATTCCTTCTGGAACCTCTTTCACGCAAATAGATAAGAGAGATGTTTGCTGAGATATATCGAAATCGGCATTGATAATATCAATAACTGGCATGACATTTCCTGGGGACGCTTCAGTTGTCTTTGTATAATGGTTAGATTCAAATTCCCAAACTTCAATAGAAGTATGGTTGTAGAGGAGCAAATCACGGAGCAATGAACTGTATAAGTTATCGCTAATTGATACATATTTGTATTTCTTGTCGTTAGAGTCTTTGAGTGCTCCGAAAGAATGAATATGTTTCGTAGCAATCATTTCTGCATCAGAATCGATGGCAAAGTATGACCCGCCTTTGCGGAAAAAGCGCACGGTCTTCTCTGGTTTTGGTGGTAGTTTCAGTAACTCAGAGTATTCAGTGCTCATGATTCTAAACGTACATTTTTTTCTTTACCAAACTCAAAATTCTAGAGTGTTTAACTTTGAGCGGCCAAAATCTTGATAAATTAAATAAAGATAGTATTTAGATAATGCGTGTAACACTTTTAAATTTTAAGTCGCAAATTTAGAAGAAATGAAGTGTGAAAAGAAGTACACAGAAATGTTTTATTAACTTATGAGTAAAATGATTGGTGATTATTTGGATAAAATCACAATGATTCAAGAAGTAATTTCAATTGGAGATCTCGTGTTTACCCCTTCATATGCAATTGTAGCATATCGATCTTATAAAACAAAATCTACTGCTGGGATTTCCTTTTATTGGACTCTTTTTTCATTTCTTTCGGGTTTTTTCACAATTACAGATTTTCATATATTGCCTTTTGTAAGATTAGGAGGCTTATCAAGGTTAATTTTGGTAGGCTGCATTATCTATATGCAAATTAAGTTTCCTCTTACATCAAATAAATTTCATGAATTAAGATTTATGTACTATTGCTCAATTCTAGCATTAATTTTACTAATCTCAACAATATTTAGGTTTCTTAAATTTGTAGATCTTTCATTCTGCTTTGATGCTTTCGCAATTGGCCCGCAATCAAAAATCTTTCAAACATCTCGCAATATTACAAATTTTGATTGGTACTTTATGCTTTTTTTACCTAGGAACTGTGTGTTTTAGGTATTGGTATGCATTTTCTGATGGATTAACCTCTCATGATTTTAGGTCTTGGGTCGGTTTCTTTTCATCCTCATTTATATTTCTGTATGGATTTGATCTTTACTATTTTTACTTTGTTTGTTTCTTTAAACCCAAAGAAAATGTCCCTACAGAAACGACTTAACCTTTTCATTAATGATTATTACCAAATTTGCGTTATCCATCAAATGAGTGACTTATCATGGTAATTTCGCAAATCAAAATTTAATAATTCAAAATCACTAGGGAAAATAAGTGATTTCGGAGAAACCATATATATTTCTATATTGTTTGTAAAAAATTTTACTATCTAATACTTAAGAAAAAACAATATTAAGATTTTTTTATATATCTAAATCAAGTATCAAAAGAAAAGTAGCATCAGTTTTATTCCATTAATTTTCTATTGATCTTGAGAGTTGATTCATTTTGAAATCATGAATACACTAAAATCATGATATAATATTCTAAATTGAGACAAATTCAAATCACACAACGTTTGAAAATTGTGTACAAAAGTATTTTTTGGCTTCAAACTATTTATTAAAAATTATTTTTTTCAATTCTAAATCTAATGAACATTAATCAATGATACTAGACATTTTTATTGATAACTAAGATAATTGGATTTAAAAAGAATGAAACTATATATAAGTATTTACAAACAATCAAAAGATATAATTCAAAAATCTATCTCTTCTATATTTCATTCAGAGAAGAATCAAGAGATTGCTCTTCGTATATCTTGTTCAAGTATTTAAGCTCTTTCCTTCTCTTGAGCTTTGCATAGATTATAAAAGATCCTATCACAATTAAAATCATGCCAATCAATGCAGAAGCAATTATCAAAACTTTCATCCATGTTGCAAATTTGGGAGTCTTTATAATATAAAATACTGTAAAATTACCTTCCATAACGCAAATTGCATCAATGATAGGATTCGTTTTATTTGGGCCAAAGTTTCGAGCCCAATTTTTACAATTTGAATTAGAGATCTTTAGAACCGGGACTTTGAAATCTACAATATTTGGACTGATATCAATATCTTCACTTGGTGAAAATTCAATTTCACCTTTATTAGAACCCATATAATTCATATAAATATATGGGATGGAAGTAGAACTAAATATAATACGAATCTTTGCCTTTCCAACTGGACTATAAGATACTTTTGCAAATGCATATTCTGAAATTTCAATTGTTTCAGATGAGAAATCTCCAACATTAGTATAATTAGAAGATTCTATGAATGTGTTGTTAGTTCTAACTGATCCCGAAATAACCTTTCCTGACTGCCGCATTTCAACATAAGGAACTTTAATGTCATGTTCTGGTAAGAGAATTAATTTATCATTAATAACAATTGAGTCAAATTCTATATTGGAGTTCTCCTGAATGATAAACTGCGTTTCTGATGATATATTAAAGTTGATTGGAATTTTTCCGGAAGCATTACGGAAAACAACAATTCCACAAGGAAATATTTTCATTTTTTCATGAGAAAGCTGAATATTTGAATCAATTTTAATTATAGATAATGGATTAGAGTTAAACAATATTGCATTGCTTGGAGATTGAGAATTAAGATTGATTTCTGTGTCCAATGGTAAATCATTATTTATTATGACCGTATGCTTATTTAAAAACTCTATTTCATCGATTTGAATTAGATCATCTTCAAAATTAATCTTTTTAGGACTGTAATTTAGTAATTCATATGCTTCAACCTTGTAATCACTATTCAAGAAGGAAGATGATTGATCAAATTTCATATCTAAAGTGGAGAATATATACTTTGAATTAATATTAGAATTCTCTAAAATTACTTCATCACTATTTACATCATTATTAAAATGTGCATCTATTCCAATCATATGCAATGTTCTGAATGGTGATCCTTTGATGTCCAAACTCAATTTACTTGAATTTGATTCAATCCATTCAATTGTTACATCACTATGGCATTCTGACAGATCAAGTGTCTTAGTACTATTACTAGTAATAAAAATATTAACGCTTGATGACTCATTTGGATATGAATCCTCTAATGTTGCAGTATTTATGTAACCTGACTTACAATTATTCCCATTCATTGGGATACATATTTTGAGATGTTCTTTATATCGATTATTATCAACTCTCTTCAAGTCAATACAATAATTACCTTTTTGTTCAGATTCATGACTTATGACTTCATAAACTTTAATTGAATCTGCATCTGGAAAGCGTAAGCTTGGATATTTAAAGAAATCTTTTTGTTTGCTGCAAATAAAATTGGAATAATAATCAGATCCTGATCTGATTTTAAAAACTAAATTTGTTTCAGTTCCTTCAATGAAATTGTCAATTTGTAGAGAATTCTTTTGAGCTTGAGCAAATGTAATGAATGAATTTTCTTTTATGTAAAGATTTTGAATATAAGAATAACTTCCAGAATATCTTAGATCAGTGAATAAATGGTAGTTTCCATATAAATATGAATTAGATATATTCAGAAAAATAAAACCAGCTGTGTTACCTTCTCCTGTGTATATATTTGATCTTTTAATATTTGCAAAAATGAACAAAGCAGAGTAGTCACTATCTTCTTTATTAATTGTGATATTGCAATCAGTTGCAATCAAATGTTGAATAAATGATTCTGTTATTAAATTGAAAACAACATTTGAATTTTGTAAATCAAAGAATATCAAATGCTGGGATGTTTTGGAATCGAATATAATATCATTAACTGCATGTACATAAAATTGAACGTGTTGTGTACTTAGTCCTCCCTTTCGAAGTGAATTTCCTGGGAAGTTTTCTGCAATAATTTTTGTAGGTTCGGTTAAAATGAAATAAATTGCTGAATCAAGTACTGTTTGAGAGATAAAATACTGGCATAGTTTGAGTGTTGCATTGGGTGTTATCATATTGATTTTCATTTCAACTTGACATTGGAACACATCAAATTGAACATTATTACAATTATCAAAGGAAATCGAAAAACCTTGAAACTGGGCGCTGAAACTTACATTTCCAACAACATTTACAATATCAATAGATATGTGTGAAGAAGCTAATTTGATATAAATATCTTTATTGCATTTAACAGATGAATCATAAGTAATTACAAAATTTGAAGCCCGAATATTTGATAATGATGATAATGAAGCCATATCGGATTCTCAGTTTTCAACTGATATGGTGATTCCTGATTCTGTTTTGAATTTAGCATTTTTCATTTGTAATTCTGTTGCCGAGAGAAGTGATTTTTCAGTTTCTATTGTAATGTCTGTCAATGAGATGTAGATATCACTAAAGAAGCTAAAAAGTGTATCAAAATTCATTCTTGTATTTTTATCCAATCCATTGATCGAAAATTTACATTCTTTTTTTAGTTTGATTAGTTCTAGGTAGGTATATCTTTTTTCAAGTGTATCAGGAATGTTAAATGTTACTTCATCAGCCTTACTTATCGATGCTAATAAACTTTCCCAACTACCCAGATTTTCCTTACTTTTACCACTCCCCATGTAATTTCTGGGGAAAACGATAATTCTTTTTTTTTATGGATGAATAGATCGTTTTCCTAGAAAGGACCTCATATCTCTGGCTAAAAAGAGTGTCAGATCCTAAATAGGTTATTGATCTAGTGTACAAATCCAATAAAAAGCCTATTTTTTTGGCTTTTTTGGTGCTCATTTTTTCGAAGATCTACATGAATATGGGGAAACCATCGGATTTTTTTGGTTAACCCACATCTTCATGTAGTCTGGACTATCTTTCCTCGAAGGACCTCTTTACGGGTGTAAAAACTCATAAAGTTCTCAAAAGATTCATTCTCGATCTCCATGCTGAAAGAATTTACAATAAAAAAAAGATCTACGCATCAAACTACAGCCATAAATGAACTGAACCCCTAAAGCTCAGCTCTTAGTTTATCAAAAACGTCGAAATCCTTCTCATTGCAATCAAATTTTCTCAATAACTCATAAGAAAAATCGAATTTTGATTAAGCCGATGTTATAGGTATCACAAATACTACAAACTTGAGCAATATCGAAATTGCCAGCAAAAGTTTGAAATTGCATTGCTCATATTTGTTTTGTAAACTAAAAATCTGCTTATATTATTCATTAATTTTTATATATTATTCATATACTTTAATAAAAACAATACTATTTCACCTTAAAAATGAATTTCATAAGTCAATATTATTTTTTTGAAAATGTATCAATTTTCGATTAAAACAACATGAGAATAAAATTTACGCAAAATTATTTTAAAAAATGGTTTTAAAAATTTACAATTGATTAAGAATAAGATTGGAAGAAGTTTTGAAGTTTAATTTTAAGAAAAAAAATTCGGATATTATTCATGGATCTAAGTAATCTGATATTTGAGTATCGGCACTATGCATAAAACATATATTTATAGTTTTTTTGGAGTTTTATGATTTTAAATATATTCAAATTTGGCAATCCAATAGATTTTTAAAAAATAGGTAAATAAAAATAGATTACATATGCAGCAGATTTAGAACATGAAACAAATCTTATAGTGACCCAAAAAAAAATTCATGATCCAAAAAAGAAAAAAATGGGTAAATGGGAATCAAACCTTGGCATAATAAATCATTATGTCGGATGTTTCCACTACACCGGCAGTTCGAAAAATACCCTTGGTGGTTCTATTTAATAGCTACTCCCAACGATAGGCGGTGTCCCCAGCTTTAGAGGGGTGGTAAAAGTAAGGAAAATCTGGGTAATTTGATTAAAATTTGAAATTGGAATTCTTGCATCATCAGGTGGGCAGAGGCGTTCATTTTGTAAATAAAAACAGCATGAAATACGATAAGTTATAGCTAAATAAAGAGGAAGCAACATAAAAAAAATTGAATTGAAAGCGTGTCTGATCAGACAAAAAATAAAAGAGTATGTAAAGTAATGAGAATAAGAATCATAATTATTTTTAAGAAAGATTGGAATTTCTTAGCGATCTTAAAAAAAAAAAAAAAAGAGAAAAAAAGGTAGTGGGGCCTCCAGGCACTTCGTGCCCTCTAGCCCTGAAGATGTTTAGTATAACTTTGTCCGGACAAGTAAGGGTCTATCGTCGCTACAGGAAAAGTTACGGAGAGAGGGTCAAAGTTGCTATTTGTCACTTTTCCACAAGAATATAATGGGGAAAAAGTTATCATATAGTTGATCTCATTCACTGAGGTGAGAGATGCATGTAGTGTAATGGGATAAACAGTGGGATTGGTGCTCTAAGTCCTAGGTTCGAGACACATTGGCTTCATTTTTCTCTTTTTTATTGACGTAAACTATTCAATTTTTGTGTTCTCCATTCAAATTTCAGAATTTTTTTGCAGATTTCACGCTACATTCGAAGTTACCTTTTGTAACAACCACCACTGCCTACGAAAGACGAAAGTGTGTCACGATTTCACCCGGAAATCCGACGGTTGTTTAAGAGTAAGCACTTTTGGCACCTACTCAAAAGTTACGGGCGTTCCAAGGAAGTATACTTTGAGAAGCCTTTCCCCCTTATAGAATGAGATAGGACGGTTATTTTACAAAACTGACAACACTTTGACCGAGTAGTTTTTTGTGCTGAACAAAAAGTGTCATATAAACATCTGTCAAAAACCGCTTTTTAACTTCACTTAAAATGCCACGTAAGCTACGTAAGAATATACGTAAGAGGAAGAGAGCATTGAAACATCCAATAGTAAAACTGACACCACAACAACAGTTGCAACAACAAATGATGAATGACCCCACTATGTTGCAACAAATGTCAAGCAACCCTATGCTTTTAAACCGAGTTATTGGTGCACAAAGTGGAGGTTTAAGAGCGGACTTTTAGCGAAAATGGCAGCTATGGTGGAGCTGCAGACGGAACAGCTTATAACCCTCAAAGTCAAATGAATTTGAGTTCACTCAAAATCAAATAACAGATGTCAAAAAGTCAAACATAGACATACAGAAACAAATAAGTGAAAACGAAAAGAAACTAGAATATGACAGACACACAAAAACTCAATGAGTTAAACGTAGAGAAAAAGAAGAAGAAGAACAACTGAAAGAACTAAGTACAGAGGAATATGCGAAAAAAGTGTCAGAAAAAGCAGCAGAAGTAGCAAAAATGGAACAGATGTTATAAATTTGAAAAACATACTACTCAATATAAAGTACTGAAGATGAAGAGATAAAACAAAAAGCCCTGAAGACATATATGGATAGCGATGAGTATAAAAAAGAAGTTGAAGCAAATGTAAAGGCAGAAAAACTTTTACAGTTGCAAACCAAACCGTACAGTATGAAAACTTAGCACAAGAAAGTAAAAATAACGACGCAGCCATGCAAAAGGCAATGAAAGCGCAGAATATATAAAAGCTAATAATGACTGGTTAGATGCCCAAGCCAACGCTAAAGCAGCCCAACTTATAGGGTCAATAAGGACAAAAATACAAGCGGATGAAGACAGTTCAAATGAAGCTTTAATGAATGCTGACTTTAAGAACGCCTTCGAAGCTCTTCATAGTAAGGTGAAACTAGTGAACGACTTCTCATCTGGAAAGAAACTGAAGTCTGAAGGTTTCGACAAAGAGTTAAGAGAAGTAGCACAAAATATGACGAAAATAACAGATGCAGCAACGAGACAGGCAGTTCAAAGTGCCTATGACGCCGTTAGAACAACTGTTGGAAAGTCAAGAAAAGAGTTACAACAGACCAAAACAACCTAGTAAATGCTTTCTTAAAAACGAAAAGTCAGGTAGGACATTATGCTGCAGATGGAACATATGTGCCAGCTGGTGGAACTTATATACCAGCTGGTGGAACTTATATACTAGCTAGTGGAACTTATATACCACCAAACCCTCCAAGAGAAGCACCTGCACCAGGACTACCTAAAACATTTACATCGTCACATGGACACAGACACAGGCATGCCACCAAAACCAAACACAACAACCAACAGTTCAAAATCCAGCACAACAACCAACAGTTACAAACACTGCACCACCAACAGTTCAAAAAACTGCACCACAACCAACAGTTCAAAAACATGCACCACAACAACCACAAAAGAGCAAGGACATAAAAGAAGTAGAGAAAAGGAAACCAAGAATTCTTAAAAATGCTTAAGGAAGACTATGGTTACCCAGATACTCTTGACTTTAGTGACAGATATAAAGAAGCTATTAGAAAGTTCAAGGAAGGAATACTGACCGAACCTATTTAGCTTTATGGTTCAGCACCAAATGGGAATATAATTTCAAACCTGGAAAATACAAGCTCGCTAAGGGATATGATTTAATAGCATATCATCCAAATGACATGGATGAATTTACTCCGAGATATTTGGTGTCAGAGCTAAATGATAATTCAACTCTCTTCATGAAACGCGTAAAAAATAGAGACGGAACGAAAGAAGAAAGGTTTATGAGTCCGGATGACTTAGATAGGGAACTTGTTAAAAACGGTCTCGGAATATATGAAATGCCAGCAGATGAGGTACAAGAAACTCCACAGGAAGAAGTTCAGATACAACCAGACATGGAAGAAATAGTTCAGCAACAACAGCTAGAAGAGCCTGAAGGAAACAAACAAGTCCCTCCTTTGGAAACTAACTTCACAGAACTAGATGAAGATTTGGAACAGCCGAAAAAATCTTGACCCTCAACAAGTGTATGCGGGGAAATGGAATCTTTCCAAGAGTCTAAGAAAATTCGGCTGACATAGTAGAAGAATATCGAAAATGTTCGCCGACATACAAAAGACTCCAACATCAGATGAAAATATTCAGCATAGAATGGAAAGTACTGAAAGAAAGTGTACGCAAATACAACAATCCTTTTTTTACTACGACCATATAACGTTCAATCTTTGGCTGAACTCGGTGAAAATAAAAGGTAAATATTCACCAAAACATATAG